CGGCTTCGTTTTTGGTCCAGCACGGATGGCGGGATTTTGCCTTTGCTGCGGAATTTCTTGGTTTGTTCTTTCTCTCTCTCTCTCTCGCGTCTTGTTCTTTCTTTCTTTTTCTGTTTGCCTGGCTTTCTGTTTTCCTGTTTTCCCGTCTTTCTGTCTTTCATTCTTCCTTTCTTTCTTCCTTCCTTCCTTTCTTTCCTTCTTTCTGTTTTTCTTTCTATATTTCCTTCTTTCTTTTCTGTCTTTCTTTCTGTGAGTTGTTTTTGGTTTTTGTCTGTGTGTTTCGGTCGTTTTTGTTTCGTTATGTTTTTTTTGTTGAATGGCGGGGGCACGAATCACATGACCTGATTCCCTATCGAACCAGCCAGAGATTTCGGGGTGACTTTCCCCACAAGCGTCGGGCCGCCGATGCGGCCGAATGCTCAGGGCTTCGGCAAGGGCAAGGCCAAGGGTGCGGCGGAGTTTGCCACTGGGACTGGTTGACGGGAGTTCGTGGGCGAAGTCTCAGGCCTAATGCATGGTTGTTGTTGGGAAACATGTTGCATTTTTGCTTATTGTGGTTTAGTGGAACGTCCCCACTTAACTGCTAAAACGTATTTTTGTTGCTCCCCTTCCAACGTCAACCAAGAATGGTAACCCTGGATGAATTTCACCTTTCTGGTTGATGAATAGGGGCGTCTCCTTGGTGAAATGTGGGGAGTGGTGACCACTTTTGTAGGACAACAGGGGCCCTGATGGGAGCCCCTGATGCATCAAATCCGTTCCCTGGTTGAGAAAGGATCACTGGCTTAGGCCAGCTTGAGGGGCACATTCGCCAAGCCTTCAAGCAACCGCATCTCATGAAACAACCAAGTTTCATGAAAGCTGGTTGATGAATAGGGGGGTCTCCCTGGGTGAAATGTAGGAATCAGACCACTTTTGGAGGAGAACACCACCCATGTTAGGACGGGTTTATTAAGCCGGGGTCAACATGACAAGCCTAACACCTATGACGCTCCGCGGGTAGTCCTTTTGCCTTGGATGCCGGCGGTGGGACATGAGGCTTTGAGTCACGCAAACTAGTCACCGGCGCTCAGTTGCCCAAAGCGAATCGATCTTTGTTTGCCTTTGAGTTTCCCTTGTTGGCACCCATGGTTAGTGCCCCCAAAAGGTGATCACCTTTTATTTCCAGGTCGCTCAGGCGCTTGCGTGAGAATCCGGATGGCAGCCACGGGTCGACATGCCGCGGCCTCGTTTTGGACACTGAGGTGGTGTCCGGGTGCAGACACGAGACTGTGGGCAGCATCATTCGCAGCTTGGCTGTTGGGTTGTCACGTCAACCTCGAAATCCGAAGGACCCAAAAATGTCAGAGAGAAGCCGCCTGCCGCCTAACGATTATTTCCTTCCAAGGGGAACCACGCCTGATCACGGTCATCCGGAGTCCGAAGTTGACTTTAACAAATACAGGGAATGAGCAACAACAAATCAAACAATGAGAAGTTACCCAACATGGCACCCACCAGAGTCCCTTTAAAAAGAACAAATTCTTCCAAAACTCCTCAGTCAGTGTCAGGTTTCATGTTATTGGAACTTGAATCCAACATGAACATCACATTCGTTCACCAGTGTTGGATCCAATTAAATTGCAGTTTGGTCGGTCAGTTTGCTTTCACGGTCATGCAATTTCTTTCAGGGCTGTTGACAGAGCGTCAAGAACGTCTCAAATCCCTTGCATGGAAGGTGACACGGCTTTGGCTTGCGTCAACAGCGAAGGGTTTGATTACATGACAAGCTTGGCTGATGGCGAAACAGCCCCAGCAAGCTCGTCCATGGCTCAAGCAAGCGCACACAAAACTAGCGGCCGGTGGGTAATTTATATGCTTTCTTGGGATTCCCCATGCTTCTCCCAAGCCAATATGCTTGAGTTGTCAGGTTGCTTGGACGTATGTCTTCGTTTGGCATAGGGCGCTGAGGGTCAATCACTAAATATGGTTCCACGACTGCACCCACCACTTTGAATTGTGGACCCCTCTAAATTATGAACCTTTTCAATCCACAAATGAAGGGTTTGGTTGCTGTTGTCCCCCTGGCCGGGGAAGCCATGCCCAACGGGACCCACATGCAAAACCTCGGTTTGGTTTCCTCCTCTTGACCAATCCGCTCGATGGGACGTGAGAATATGAAAGATAATCTGAACATACTTGTTTTTTGTACCTCAGATGTGGACCAGGTTGGGACACCAGGACCATTCATGTTCCCGGCCCATTTGAGACACCAAAAGCAAAACCACAGAAAACCACAGCCATTCTTGGGGGTGGGGTACCCCCCCAAAACGCGACGACAAGCCACCAAAAGGAACACCACGGAAAAATATAGTTTTGTTTGGGGGGGGTACCCCGGAAAAAGACGACAGGCCCAGTTGGGCGACCCAAAGGAGCCGTGAGCCAAGCGCGCCACACCTCCCCGACCTCCCCCCCCCCTCTTGACTCGAGGCGGCGAGTACGGCCGGCACGGCAGCAACCACGGCCGCGCCGCGGCGAAAACGGGGGGGCTGGAGGGGACCGGTGAGTGGCTAGGTCCCCCAGTAGTGCACTTTCTTACCTTTTTTGTTTTTCGGTTTTGGGTTCCCCAAGTAAAATAGACACTAAAGGAAAAGTTGGTACCCGTATTCTAACCTCTCTGCTGGAGGACCTAGTTGAGACGACCCCAAATGGGTCTGGGTAAACTATAGCGAGGTCACCCGACCTCACTGTGAATTCGACCTAGCAATCCTGAAATAAGGGTCTGGGAGAAACAGCTTTGCAAAAAAGGTCTGAGTCCCATCGGGCTTATTCACTAGGTCCCCCAGCTAGGTGCCTTTCTCACCTTTTTTTTTGGGGTTCTTGGGTTCCGCCACTAAAATAGACTTCAGAAAATGTGTTTTTTTTGGATGGTTTTTGGGTTCCCCAACTAAAATAGACAAAAAAGGAAAAAGGGGTACCAACTTACTCTAACCTCTCTACTGGACGATCCCAACTGGGCGGCTCGCGTCCTCTTTTTGTTTCTCCGTCGACAGCCCAGCATGGCGGTTTCCTTTCGGGTGTCCTTTCGGGGTTTCCTTTCGGGGGAATCCCTTTTAATCCTCGAACAAAAGGGCCCCGACGATGCATGGTTTCCCAGGTCCTTGGACTCTTGTCAAACCGAAAGGTTTCCTTTCGGGGAAAATTTCGTTGAACCCCAGAAAGATCGAAAGATCCGATGCGCGGATTCCTGATTTCTGCGGAGTTCTGGGGAGTTTTGTCCGCAGGAAGACCCCCGACTGAATCCGACGCGCACAGGACCAACCTACAAGAAGATGGGGCCCGGCCAGGCGAGTCCAGATGGGTCCTGCAAACTCAGTTGTCTCAGTGACACCAATCCTTTTTCCCCTTTTTTTGGTGGCTGCCCCTCTAAAAATGGTCTTCCCCAAAAAGGGTTCCCTTTTCCTGAACAACTGAGGACATCCAGTTGCTGCGATGAACGTAGGGAATTGACAGGGAGTCCGGGTGTTGGGGTCATGAACCGGTTTTGGGGTGTCCCGAATACCAGAAACAACTCCAAATAGGCGTTTGTTTCGGGGTCATTCCGTTTCTCATTCCCTGCCTATCGAACCAGCAAGTCAAGAGGGGTAGGAGAGAGACCTCTGTTGGGCTGGGGTATGTCAAATGGCTATGATGTTTAATGGGGGGATATGTGGTGCACCTAAGTGGTTGGCGGACATGAATTTCAATTCCTATGTGCTGGATTGAAGCAACATGCAACATGGGTAGGACCCCTTCAAACAAAACCGCAAGGCTTCTTTTGGCTTCCCTTGATACGAATCTAAAATGAAGACCCCCAAAGCAATGATGCGCTTCCTTTTGGTTCCCGTGAAGCCAATCTAGAAAGATCATCCCCCAAAAAATGATCGGCTTCCTTCTCCTGTACACCAACTACCAGCACCTTTACAGCCTGTACTCTCAAAGAAGTACTTTGGCAGCGAGGCTCGAACTCTTGCTGGGTGCTTGAGCAGCGAACAACAAAATGCCGGGAAGACGGGAAGACGCCACGTTTCATTTTGGTGGCAAAAAAGTTCACTTCAAGTGGCTTTCTCGCCACTCCACTTGGGAAGTGAACAACGGCATACGCCAGGAAGTGCAGATCTACTTCTGGGACAGCCGGGACGGCCCTGGCATGTGTGGCTGGCTGAGGGCTCAGAGTTCGCTCGCGCTGTTGGTTCGTGGAGCTCTTGTTTCTGTTTGAGGCTTTGTTCAAGCCTTCTCCAGAATCCTTCCCTTCCCCTTGAAGAGAAAACCAGACCCAGAGTTACTGGAATTTTGGCTGGAACGGCCAATTTCTTCCAGTGGAGTCGTTTCTTGGCTCGAGTCATGTGGGACCATACCAGCTTCTTTTTTGGCTAGAGATTCGGGTTGCGGCAGGTTTTTGGGTGGGAAGGTCGGTGAGACTAGATTTCCATTCCTTTGGCATTTGGTTCTTGCTTGGTGGGGATGAATGGTGAAGAAACGTAGGCTCTGAGGATCCTGAAGTGACCCTTTGCTCACCCCCGACAGCACCCACAGCATCCCACATAACCCATCTCCCTTGGGTGTTCGGCCAAGTTAGTAAGTGAGTCTAGGTAAGAACCCACTTATCCACTTCTGAGTCGTGGCAAGCCGCTCACGAACTTGGACGACAATACAAGCACCATGTCCCAACCACAACTCCTAGTCCCCCAAAACCCTGGGAGTGGCGCTCTTTTCACCTGGGACCTGACGCTCGATATGGACCCGGTCCCTTGAAAAGGGACACTGTCTTCCAGGACCCCCCCCCGAAGAGGTCAGGTTCCATGTGAAAAGGGTGGGGTCAGAACCCAGGGGGCCTTCGGCCAAGTCCGTAAGTTGTTAGTACCTTGGTGAGATCCACGCCTACGTCCTTTGAAGTGGAGGGCCTCCTTGCATCCACCAGCTGGAATTTGGGGAACCCCAAAACAAGACTTATCGTTTTTGTTTGTTTGTTTTTTTTTCCCCGGGGGAAGGTGGTGAAAGTTCATTCATGTGGGTGGACGAAATCCATCTCGCACCACGGGGAACCATGGTTGAGACCATGGTCAGTAGCTATTTACAGAGGAATCGAATCATCGACTGAGACCCACCCCCCCACCCCCCACTCCCCCCCCCCCAGTGCCGGTGCGAAATGGATGTCCACAGCAACTCATAGCCCTGGGCGACCAAAACCGCTTGGCTCCGCGGGTCGGGGCCTTCGGGGCGGGCCGGCTGCGGGCAGCGACCCAGCGACCCAGGTGGTTCGGCGCTGCGGTGGGAGGCGACATGGTGTGGTCCTTCCGCCCCGGCGAGGCCCCGACTCCTCCCAGGACCGAAACGCCTCGAAGCGCCTCGAGTCGGTCGGGTCGGTCGGGTCGGGCGGGTGGGTGGAGTTCCGCTTTTTTTGTTTCTTTCGAAAAGAAATTGTGTTTGTCACATTTCTGGAGATTTGGGGATCCATCTTTGGTCTCATGAATCAACGGGCGCCGTCCATTTTGGCCAAGGGGCTGGGGTTGGGGACCGACGGAAGGGCACGAAGCCTGACTCCTTTACCATGTAAACCGGCAAGTTAAGCCAACGAAGGCCTGCCTGGCTACCCATGAAGCGGGTTATTGCCGTAAAAAGCCGGGGTGAATTTTGTTTATTTGGGGCTAGTTTGAGGATCCGTTTCGGTGCATTGAACCATATTGAACCATAGACGAAGTCCGCAGCTTTCGCTTTCACTTCGGGCATGTTGCTTTGGTTGTTCAATGATTTGACGCTTTCAAATTGGACTGCTTCCCTACTCAGGGGTCCCCATATTTCCCCTTTTGGTGGCTTTAAACATGACTTTTTGGTGGCCTGTTTAGAGTGAGTTGCCCCAAGGCGGGTGATGCTTCACGAGGAAATCTAGGGAACCCTGTACTACTTAGCAAGATCTTGACTTCTGTCCGCAGGCCCCAACCGGGTTCTAAGGAACAGGTTCCGATCGCTCGCACACGAAGCGCCCAATACTGCAAACAAGCCAACCATACTCAACCACAAAGCCAGAAGAAGTAATAAGAAGTACACCTGGACCTAAAAACTACCCCCCAAAAATGGTTGTTTCCCCAAAAGGATAGGGTGAGTTCCCTTTGTTCCCTTCAGTTTGAGGGTCCGGGGTAAACCAACCTCACTTGCCCAAAACTGAGCTTTTGACCTTTGAAATTTCCAATTTTGGCCCATGTTTAGTACACGTGCCACAAGGTGATCACCTTTCATCTCTGTGTCCTTTGGGCAACTGAGCAACCATTGCCCTGAGGTTCAATCCCCATTAAGCGAAGGGTCGACCAACTTTGGATGACAATCCTTAGGTCAAGAATTGCGCCGAAATATTAACCCCTCTGTGGCCTAGCAGAAGTTTGAAATCACTTCGACCCAAAGCCAGCCACCAACCGGAAACATCGTCGGATGCTGACGCCTGTTTTTTTTGTTCCTTTTTTTTGGCATGGAAATCCACTGGGCATCTGAGATGTGAATGGGTTGGAATCCGGGTAGACCGTAGCACCAAAGCCATGGGCGCACTGGGCGCAACGGGCTGCCTCTCCTACACTCTGATGGGTCTGGCGCTTCTCTTGGCGGCCGGCGCGGCGGATTTGGCGCGGCACGCGCGGAGCCACAGACATGATCAAATCAGGGCTTTGGGGGGTTTACGGGGTGGGGAAACCCACCTACCTTTAAATGCGGTCACAAAACAGCGCCGTTTTCTGGGGCGCTTTCCTTAACTATGGTCCCCCCTGTAGTTCCCATGCTTTGTGGGGGGAGGGTTCCCCTAACTACTAAAATCGACTGCAGAAAAGAAGGGCACCCTTATTCTAAACCTCTCTACTGGAGGACCTGGTTGAGCCAACCATGGGGTTCAGCACACCCGCGCCGTCGCCGAGGTCCTCTGGCTGCGAGAGCTCCATGATTTGCAGCTGCGGCCGGTGAGGTGAGCGGACGTACCCCAGGCGAATCGGCTGGATCAGCGATTCGATGGTTTTTGCCGGCCCCTTTGCGGGGGGTTCTCGTTGAACCTGACGGTTTTTAGGCTATCCGGTTCCACCTCGTTTTTGAGGGTTGTTCATCGGTTTGCTGGTTGGGCCACAAGTCACACACTTTTGGCGGGGGATTTGAACATGATTTTCCGGACCTTGGCTTGTGAAGCCAGCAGGAAGCCAACCATTTTAAGGCGAACGCCGCCCCCCCCATTTTGGCCTCCATAGTCGTAATCTAAAAGTGATCTCCATTGAAGCACCCATGTCCTGGCAAACTGAGATGAGTTGTTGACCCGTTAACATCCAAACTGTAATATTAATGGTTACCATTTTTGGGACAATTTTTCTGACCGTTCAGGTTCTAACAAACGGCTTCCGATCTTGGCGCGAAAGATTTCGGAATCCATTTCTTAGACGCCACTCAAACCGGCCACCCGGTGACCGCTGCCAGGCCTACGATTTGCTGGCGCCCTTCTGGTCGAATAGCGGCATTGACCTTGGGGCGGAGTCTTCGGAGCAGTGGGGGCGCGCGACAGGTCAAAGAGTGAGCCAAATGCCCGGCAAATATCAGGGCGGACGCGGTTTCGATTCCGTGACCCGGAACGGGCAGAATGACGAGGCTGAAGAGGGCTGGGCCAAAGGCCTTGCCTCCAAGCACGGTGAGGGTTGCCACGAATCCTGCGGTTTTCTTCGGCAACCCATTTCTGGGCCGGAATATCTTGTGGTGGTTGCGTTCACCTGACACTTTGGCCTCGAATGGTGCTGCGATAACGCCAAAACGGCGTGCAGGAGATATCGGTTGGTCAGGGCGCTGGCCGGGCATGCTGCACAGGGCCGTATTGTTCAGGATGGAACCATATGGAACCTACGGCGGATGCCCCACATTTTGCAAGAAACAAAGACATTGTAAGTTGCAGCAAGCCACAGAATGGGAAATTACAGTCACTGAAGGGCATAGGTGTCCTGCTTGGTTGTTTTGCTTAAATGGCAGGCCCTGATTTACCTGTGTTTTTTTCCCCCCTCATCTACCAGGGAAATCCATCAATTTTCCAACAAAAGGACACCTACTGTGGATGGAGGAAATCCTGCACCACCTAAAAAATCCCTGGAATGATGATTCACCTGTAAATACCAACAAACAATGGTTTCCCACGGTTTCTTAGGTGGTGCAGGATTTGGTCCATCCACAGTATGCTTAGGCTTGCTGGTTCCCTTTGCCAGAAGTCAATGGCCCCATGAGCCCCATCAGCCCCGCCGGTGCTTTTCCCGCCTCCAGGACTGGGTGGAAGGTACCCTTTGAGGGCCAGGCGCGGAAGGCTGCAGGCTACCAGCTAAAGCCATGGAAGTTTTATTTTTGGGCCCCATTTTTTATTTTTTTATGTTTCTTGGGCTCCCTTCCAAGCCCACAATTGGTACCGTCGAGAAACACGCACTGGCCTTTGGTCATCATTTGGGATATGTTTCTACGGGGTTGAATTCAGAAACTGGAATTTGTGGTTTCCCTTTAACCCAATGAACGGGGGTGACTTTGATGGGAAAATGGAGCAGTCCAGCTCCGATTGGTAGCTCCTGAATTGCTCCCTCTTTAACGGCGAATCCCGAAAGTGCTCTCTTTGGAGCACCAGCCAGCAAATGAGCAGGGGTTATGTGCGTTAAACCTACGAAAGGTTCTACAGGTCCTTCTGCCAATGTGTGGCTGAGTGACAGGCAGTGGGAAGGCGGGAAACGACGGCGGGCGCAGACTGACCGGTATTTTTGTATTTCCCCTGATGGTGTTAAAGGGAATCTATCACTACTGGAATATTTGTGTCAGTTAAACATATTTGATTAAAAACAAAAAACAACCTTGGGAGTTGGAGAGTTTGTTTGTCGTTTCTCGAAGTGTCGTTAGTATGTGTTGGAGTTCGTCTTTAGAATCCACCAAAAAATAGCATTTTCCCCATGGGACGAACAAATGGCGGGATCGAAGGTTCAGCACTCGGCCGCGAGGAAGGGGCCCAAGGGCCGCCCGCGAACCGCGAACCGCGGGGGGGGGGGGGGGGTGAGGCCCTGGGCTTTCCGTGTCTCGCGTTTCGGGGGAGGTGGACGCCAGCCTGGTGGTGAACGCCGCGGCCAACGGGCGCCCGCCAGGGGCCTCAGGGAAAAGGAGCCAGGGGCCCGACGTTTTGGGGGCCTGAGCCGGGACGGTGACACAGCTGGATGTTGGGGGGTTGCGAAACTCAGTTGTCCAAATCCGACCTTTTGACCTTGTGGTTTCCCCAGTTTGGTCATATCCTGTCATGGCCCCAGAAGGTTATAACCTGTTATTTCCGGGTCGTTCGGCCACCTGAGGAAAAGTGGTGGAGGGTGGCGAAATCTGTTTCGCAGCACCTAAGAAAGCCAAGCACAGCCAAGCTCCTTTCAACCTTTTTGTTTCGAAATCGGTGGTGCGAAGTCTGGAGGTCGCAACCATCAGTAGGTGTCCTTCTGGAGGCCGCCTGGGTCAGATGCCCCCTGTAAATGACAAGCAATCGTTCAGGTGGTCCGCTGAGCCGTGGGGAACAACAGGGGTGACGCGCCGACTGGGCGGTTCCTACCGTTTCCCATTGTGAAAATGGAGTTTCCAGCCGCACCTTTTATTTGTTTGTTTCTAAGTGTTTGTCGGAAGTTGTTTGGCTTCACCAAGCCCGTTTCTCTTTTTGTATGTCCGTCACATGTCACATGTCCGTCACTATGTGTGGCCACAGGGCTGAGTTTGGGGCGCTGGTTCGTCGGTCCGCGCACACGAAGCCTCGAGCCGAGGCCGTCGGCCCCGGCGCCCCCGGCCTCGGGGGTCTTCGGGGCCCCGAAGCCCCCGGCGCCGCCGGCGACGCCGGCGAAGGTGGAGGTGCGGGGGGGGGGGGGGGGTGGGGGTGGCGAAATGCGACGCCCAAGGCAAAAGACCTGAAGTCGATGTGTTTGTTTTTTTGCTTTCCTCTTTTTTTTTTTTCTTTTTTTTTTCTGCGCCTGGGTGGTGTGGTTCCTTTGTCGTTGCAACAACTTGAGTTCCAAAGGCACCTTGATGGAAAGGCTCTGGGCAGGGTGTCCTCCATGTCCCTCTTGTTTTGAACCCTCCAAACGTGGCGATTGTTTCAATGGAAGCCACAAGTAAATTGATCAACTTTCGAAGGAAATGACAATTTTCTCAGCCCCTCAGAGCCACAAAAGGTGAGATCCACTTTCTGCTGCAACCCAGACCTGTCGGAGGCTTCCATTTGCTGACATGAGCCAATTTTTTGCTAGTTTCCCCCTGTTGGTTTCAAAGGGAATCTTAGACCCCTTGTTACATCGGCATAAGTCCACTGGAGAAAACAGCATATTTCCAGTAGTGAATCACTTTATTCCACCCTGTTGGTTTCCAAGGGGATCGATTTCACTACTGGACATATATATAGGGAATCTTAGACCACTTGTTACATCTTCATAAGTCCACTGGAGAAAATAAGCACTACTGGGAAAATATATCTCTTTCTCTCCAGTAAACTGAAGCAGATTTGTTTCAAGGGGTCACCTTGGCCGCCAGGTGGGCCAAGAGACCCACATCTCAGCCCCGACCTCGAATCGGACCGACGTCTGGAGAGGGTCCTTTTTTTTGGTGTTTGAGGGGGGGGGGGAGGTTCCAAGGCAGAAAGAAACCAAGAAAATAAGCTCTCTTTTTTTTGAGGGGGGGGGGTTTTCAATGAAGAAATAAACCAAAAAAAGAAGAGCTTTGGTGGCAGAAACTCGGACGGTTTCCTGTTAGATGATCAAACCGGTTTTGGCTCTCGCTGTTTTTCGCTTTTGTGTTAGGCCGAACGTCCCCACATGGGCAGGGTTCCCTATGTACTTCAACCCTTTTTGTGCCAATTCAAAATGGGGCTGTTTTCTTTTGAGGGTACCCCCTTTTTGCGCTTTTAAAGTTTTAAATTATAAATCGAAACCAATAGAAAACCAAAGTCCTTTTGGGGGGTCCGGTGCCTAATGAAAGAACACCCAAATGATGTTCGTTGTGGGTTGTCCTGGAAACCCATCTCGTTGGGTGTTGGCTTCAGCGAGAAGAAAGTTACCAGGTACCCATTTGAAGAGGGAGTTCATGTTACGGGGCAGGGGGCTGTTCTTGGGTCGCATGGAGTAAAAGAAAACGAAGAATAGCCTGGCGAACAGCCCTCCGTCGCACACTGTTTTTGGCTGGAGTGCCAGGGAGCTGCCAGGGGGTGTCTTCCTACGGTCACTTTTACTGTAGGCAGGGTTGCTCCGAGCCTTTTTAAGCATGGCAAGCCTTACGGTGAAGAGGTCCCATCCTTCCTGGTATCATCCAAAAGGGGCACCCGCGAATCTGTAGTTTCCCTTAAAGCAAATCTGAGAAGGGTGCGGTGGATGCTGTAAATACTGCAAGCAACCCAACGACGAACCGCGAAATGCGGCAAATTCCAGCCCTTGCAATATTCGCAGAGCAAGCCTGTTTGCAGGATGCTTTCCACAGGCTGGCCAGAGACGTACTCAAGGAAGTGCCCGCGGACAGCTCCTTTGGAGCTCGAAGATGGCCCATGTCGCACTACAGTTCATGGGGATCCGGAACGACTTGCCTCTTAAAAAACACTACTCTTCTCAACTTTTTTCCGGGTAACATGGGCTATATGTCTGTAAAGATGAGAACGTCCCCAGGGCGCAGGGAGTTTTAAGGGATCCGCATGCGCGACTCTTTGTCCCGTTGTTTTGGCGCTGGCCTCCGCAAGGGCGCCCGTTTTCCCAGCACCTGCCAACAAACCCCCCGCGGGTAAACCCGAACCCCTGGCTCTTGTTGATGTTAAGATGGGAAGAAATATCCGCAGAAGACCTAGCCGGCTCCAAACCACCAATTGGGGGGGGGGGGGTTGGGAGGAAAGCCGCCACATGAAAAGGGATCTGGAGCGCGACTGAGCAACAGGGGAAGTCTTGCTTGCTTCGTACCCGCAACCAACAAAATCTCGGGGTTCAATTATGCAAAACCGCCATTGCATGTAATGGAAGCACAGCTGGAGCGAGCCCGCCCTGCGTGAGCGTGCCCAAAAAAAAACCGACAAAAACACGTAAATCGCCAGTCACAGGGAAGCTGATGCTCATGAAAAAGTGACTATATGTTTCAATGGTTTGTTACAACTCTCAACTCAACTCAATCAGCTAAGTTCAATCAACTCGATACAATCAACTCCAACAATTAAACGAACACACTTATTCACATTGTATTTTTTCTTCAAGATCATAGCCTCGCGCCTCCCGAGGTGGGAGGCTGCATTCACCCGGTGGTGGGCACCATCGTTAATGGGAACTTCGTGCGGACCGGGGAGAACCACGGCGCCTTGGCTGCGGAGGGTTTTTGTGCGGGTATCGAAGTGAGGGTAGACAATTTGTAGGTGGGCTCTTTATGGGACCCCCCCGCCAAAAGGTGTTCTTCTTTTTCTTCTTCTTCTTCTTCTTCTTCTTCTTCTTCTTTTTGCGGTGTTCCTTTAAAAGACCAACGAAAAGGGTGCCCTCAAAAAAGGACTGGCTGGTGTGTTGTTTGGTTGGCTTCCTTGCATGTGTACCCTTGTTGCAGGGCGGCTTCTTTGGTGGTGAAAATGCTGCCAAACCCTTGTAGGCAATTACGATTTTGGGCCGTCTGCTTGCAGAGAAGCATCCAGCGGAACTGCCAGCGCAAACAATCTGTCAAAAGTAGCGTCCTTTGGTTCCCTCAGGGACACATATTCCAGCCCTCCAGGAGTCTTTGGAGCAAGTCGTTGGCTCCTTGCTTGAGGCGTGGATGACCCAAATGCGAGTTTCTCAAAACAGTGGGTCTGCTTTTGGAGGAAAACCCGTTGGAAATCAACCACCTCAAAAGGCTCCCTGATCCTGAGAAACACCTAAAGACGGCACATTTGGGCTTGAGAATCTGGAGGACCATGGGTCAAGAGAGTGAGGGACCCTTCCCCATACACCTCCGCTTTGCGGGCACAAGGGCAATACTACATGGAGGGTATTCACCCTGCAAGGGCAAGGCGCAGACATGGGTCCTCTTGCTCGAGAGGAAGGAAGGGAGCAAGGAAGCAAGCAATGAAGGAAGGAAGGAAGTAAGGCTTAAGGACTTTTCAGGAGTTGGCGTTGGGGATCAGGGTGTGAAAGGCCATGGCACCTTTTTGCTTCTTCTTCTTCTTTGTGGGTTCATGGCCATGGCACCCTGGGATCGGTTTTTTTGCTTTTTCTCCCAGCCTTCCCTCCCCTTTTGCGGGCTTAGGCAAGCCGGTCTACAAGAAGACCGAGCAGGCGTGGTTTTTGCATGACTCGCCAAGTTTGGTCAGTCTGTTCTGAAGTCGTCCATTCTGTCATGTTCTGAATTCTCCCCCTGTTTTCACAGGGCTCCTTAAAAGATCTCCATTTTGCAACCATTTGAAACATGTTTTTTTTTCAACACCAAAAATAAAGTTGGAACCACCATTTACAAGTTGCAATGTTGAGGTGTTTTCTTGTAAGGATCCCTGTTTCACTTGTTCTCATTCCCGTTCCATTTCCCACTGTCATTTTCATTCCCTGTCCTCCATTCCCGCTTACAACCCCCTTTCAGTGTGGCAGCGGGTCCGAAAACGGGGCTTCACCGCTTGGGCTGTAGGCCAGTAACGTTGACCCCATATGGATCAACCAACCAGTTCATTAATATGGGGGTGTTCCCTTGTCGGACCTCCATATGTGGTAGTTTCACTGCAGACCACTGGCAAATGAGTAAATTGCAACTTGTGAAGGGCAAATGCAGTGACCACTGTCAGACCAAAGACGGGGTGGACGTGCTTATCTACTTCTGGAACGACGTCCAGAACCCCTCCTTCTGCGGCTGGTGGCAGGGCCCCCGAGTGCGAGGGGCAGGGAACGGCAAGAAACATTTTCTTGTGCCAGAACGTGAGTGTTTCCTCAGATTCGGACACCCAATTTACGTTGGACTGTTTTGGGGGGTTCCCTTATTTATCTTTAATTCATGTTGGATTACGTTGTGTTTTCTCAAAGCACCCGCATGTGTACGTACACCCCTATTCAATACGAGGCCAGACTCGACTGATTCATGGGAACACGCAAATGGGTGTGGTCAGCTCTCATACACTCCAGGGGTGCTTGTGCATTCCTTAACACAGGAATATACCCCGTGTAAAGCCCGTCGGAAACCAGGGAAGACAGTTGGGTGTGTCCGTATTTCAAGCTCCCGGTTGGTGGGTATTTTCAAGGGAACTTTTTGTTTGGAACGGACGGGGTGGGGTGGGGGGCGGGGATTTTTGCTGGCTGAGTCGATAGGCAGGGAATTGCGGAATTGTTTGAGGGGTTTCAGGAATGACCCTACAAAGCCCTGCACTGGAAACAATACGGGGGTTGTTCATGCGGGTCGTTCCCTTCCATAAAGAGAACCAGAAAGTTTCAGGACAGCAGTTTTTTTGGTGTTTCAGGGAAGCCAATAGATTCGCCTATACTTTGAGACACCCACTTGCAGCACGCCCAAAATAATGATATTCCTTTCTACTTCAATATAAGAACTTCGTGGCAATCTCCCTAGGGTTTCGCGGGTTATCAGGGGGCTTTTTCAACCACCCAAGTTATAACCATCACCTCTGCTAAAAGTCACACCTGATTTCCCTTTGCTCCCACACATGTCCCTCTATGGTCCCTACATTTCCCCATATTCCATCTGCATGTTCCCAAGAGTCCTGCTATATGGCCCCTGTCTTCCCCATATGGCCATGGGTTTTGAGTACCATCTTGGGGTAGGTGAACCACCCATTTTAGTCTATTTTATTGGGGATTGGGATGTTCGGGGTACGATTTGGATTTTTTGACCCATGGCCACATATGTTCCTTCTATATCCCACTTCTATTTCCTCTCCGGCACCTGAGGTTCGGGCCGCAGGTGGGCGCGGAGCAGGTCTGGGCCTTCAACCCCGGCCCGAGGCCCCAAGTCCAGAGTGACCATAGGTGTCCTCTTGTTTTTTTGTTGTTTTGGTTGTTGTGTGGTTTTTGGTTGTTTTGTGGTTTTTGGTTGTTTTTGCTTTTGGTTGTTTTGTTTTGTTTTTGGCCCTGGCTTACTTGGCGGTTGAATCACCTACCAGGGAAGTCCAGCTCGCCGTCCGGATGAGGAGGACTGGACCTCCTCCGGTGTCCTTCCCCCAGTTGGACAACTTGGATCCCGTTATGCGGGGAAAGAGCTGGGCAACGTAGTTGGAACATATTCACATATGGGAATATACGGAGAAATCTATGGAACCTTAGAAGGGGCTCATGGTCGTTGTTGGGGGTATGGGGAGGGGGGGGGGAAACAACAGGAAAATTCCGTGGACGAGATCCTCTTAGGCACCACCTAAGAAACCCTGGGAATGATTCGATTCCCGTGCAAATGCAAACAACCTATGGTTTCACATGGATTCAAAGTGGTGCAGGATTTCGTCCATCCACAGTATGGCAACATACGGAGAGATCTGTGGGAACTTATGGGGGACACATGGACCTCCCTTCTATGGAGGGGGGGGCATAGCTCCCTTATCCATATCTTATCCCGGGCCAGGGCCAGTGGTTGCAGCTGGGCCATGCACGGCGGCGGTGCCTCCAACACAACGTTTTAGCCCGTTTGTTTAGCTCCTAGGTCCCCCAGCTAGGTGCCCTTTCTCACCGTTTCTTTTTTGGGGGAGGGTTCCCCTACTAAAATAGACTACAGATAAAAGGGTACCCTTACTCTAAGCGCTCCACTGGAGGACCTAGGCTCAGTTGCTGAAAGCGATTGCCCCGATTGACCTTTTGGTTGGTTTGTATTGGGTCAAGATCCCAGAAGAACCGTGGATTTCCGTTTTTGGTGCTTCAGGTGAGTCAGTGGGTTGCACATGTCAAACCGCTCTTTGCCCTGCTTTTACCACAAGACATAAGCAATCAACCAACTTACTCGCCCAAAGCGAATCGACCTTTTCACCGATTTTCGCCTTTTGGTTCTCCCATTTGGGATTCCCATTTTTAGTATGGGGGCCAAAAGGTACCTTTTGGTTTCCTTGAAGTCGTCCATGGGTTCCAAAGAATGACTTTTCAAGTTCCAGGTCCTTTGGGCAAGGAGTGCACTCACTTCCCGAGCTCCAGTGTGTCCTTTTTTTTGAGGAGGGGGGAAGGCCAATTTGGCGCGGAAAATAAGAAGTTTGGACTTGTTGTGACCAATCCCAAAACTGGCCATTGTGATGGTTGGGAGTCTTCCCTTTGTTGTGACTGAGATGACTCAGTGATGTGAACAATCGATGGACAGTAAAGGTTGACTTAACCAAAATGACCAATCACCAATCACCAACCCAATTGTTGTGATCACTCCGGGAGTGAGTTCATCATCGATTGTTTAGGCATCCTGGTTTAGCTTTCCCTTGGCCGGGCGTTGCTGACTTGGTATTTTAGAGTAGGCCGAATATGAAACCGCCTCTGGCAATGTGATTTGCCAGAGGTGAGCCAATTGTTTTGTTGTTGGACCAACTTTTGTCCACCCTCTTTTTCAGGTGGCTCCTGTCTTCCAACAGGAGGCCCCTGGCTAACTGTTGTGCTGAAAGGACCACTGGGTGCTCAGTCCTTGCAATTCCGGGATGTCGCAAAAACACGTTGCAACCAGCCAATCAAAGGGACCTCTTTTTCAGGTCTTTGGTTTTCACCGAATCGCCACCAGTTTTGGACGTGTTGGGTTTACAGGGTTTACAATGGCTTTCCCATTAAACCCACCAGTGGGGGGGGGGGGGGGGGCGAACCAAACATGGCATTGAAGGATGTGCACACACACACACACACACTGAGGATCAAAAGGAGTTGCCTAACATACATTAATACCATTGAATACTTCTATTAAAGTGCATACGCATCCGAAACAACGCTACCAGCCACAAGCCGGTGCACCACTGTTCGAAGGCTTCGTTTCCATGCAGCAATGGGAACAATCTCTTGCGAGGCAACGGGAAGACCAGTCCAACTGTTGGCTCTTCCAATCATTGAACCCGTTTGGATGGCCTGAAGCCTACTTCCCGAGTGCATGGTTTTTCAGCTTTTTGGGGTTTGACCATTTTAGTGGCATAGTACAAGTAGGTCCGCCAGCAGCGCCCTTTTACCCTGTTTTGGGGGAGGGTGGGTCTGCCAAATGGGATTACAGAAAAAAATGGTACCCTTATTCTAGCCTCTCTACCGGAGGACCTAGAAAGACAAGTTTGGTTACTTTTGTGGCCCATGCACTCGAGAAGTGACGATATCACCTATAAGCTTATATTCCATTCATTTTTAGATAACGATATATATATATATATCAATCATTATACTTCCGCATCACCAACAACACCATCCAAACACTACCACCAAAAAAAACAACATATTACAATATCTCAATATCTCTACCAACAAATATCCTCATTACATATCTCATATCTCCTACTATCCCACCATCCGTCTCGCAAAAACACACCACCAACCATCAAGTTCAGAAGAAACATCCCCACCCCATCACCAATCCATCAATATGATCATCACACCTCCAAAGAATACCTCATAAGTTTACAACTCCTTCCCCCCTTTGGGTGGCCGTGGTTCAGACCCAACGGTTCAGCGAGGCCGGATGACGACGGCCCCGCTGTCCGGGTGGAAGGCGGGGGACTGGAAGCTTGAACCCTTTCTGGGCCTAGTTTCAGACAAAGTGTTGGCTTATTCGGGTTTATTTGGAACTACTGTGGATGGACAAGATCCGCTTCTCGCACCACTTGGAAACCATGGGAAGCCATTTTTTGTTGGTATTCACAGGGGAATCATCATTCTAGGGTTTCTTGTGTGGTGCAGGATTTCGTCCATCCACAGTATTTTGGCTAAGCTTTCCCGGGGTGTAATCCCAGGGTGGGGTTTTGCAACTCCTTTTAACCGTTTGGAACATTCAACCGATTTTGGAGCCCAGTCGCTCAGTTGGGTTGGCGAAAAATCGGCCTCCCATCTGACAGGGGGCCTGTTGAAGAAGATATGTTTTGCTTCCAGGTACCCTCCCAAAGATGATGCCTGTTACTGGGAGGAATGCCAACATGGGTCGTGTCTTTTGTTTGTTTCCCTTCAAGCTTTCAACCCCAAACACTTGCTGAGGCGTAGGGGATGACGCAGGGTTTTGGGAATGAACCTCGGCATTCTCTGAAAGGAAACCGAAAATCGGGGAATGGTTTTAGGGCTTCCATTTCTCATTCCCTGGTCATCCAAAAGGTCGGAAGCCACGCCCAAGATACGGCGAAGGGCTGATCTTTGGGGCCCTTGGGTCCCCGCCATCCGATTCCTTAGCTTTTTAGTTTGATACTGTGGATGGACAAAATCTGCTTCTCGCACCGCTTTGAAACCATGGTTGAAACCATTGTTTGTTGGTATTTACAGTGGAATCGAATCATTCCACGGTTTCTTAGGTGGTGCAGGATTTCCATCCACAGTAGCTTTTGAGTTCTTTAGTGTTTAGTGGCTGGATTTCCATTTAACCAACTAAAAGCTAGTCGCTTTTAGTGGGGGATCTGAGGACAGCCCAGTAATTACTCCCTCACATCAATTTATTAGAAGGTGATCCCCACGATCCAACAAATGGTTGTCTGGAATTGCAAGCTGCAGAGTAAGAAGCTTATCTTTGCGACATAATACCAATCACCATGCAACTTGGCCAAGGCATTGGGGTAAGGAACTCGCGTCCGATTGGATGAAACAGGGCTCCACTACTTGACTACCCCAGGGAAGACTGAAATTTAGGGGTGGTTCATTCACCCCAAGCGGCTGGGTTTAAGTCTCTCACTTCCTGAGTTTTTTTTGGGAAGATCATCTTAGTGGCTAAAGTTCAGATTTTGCCCAAGGCCAATCCACTCAAGAAGTCTTCGGTCGTCCAAAAGTGGAACTCTGAGTCAAAACGTTTTGCTTACCAGTAGGATGCTGTCAGGTGCCTTACGACGGTCCGGTGGACCAAGCCTTCCGCATCTCCGTGGACAGGCGATGCATCTGAAAATGGGGCGGTTTGCAGCAGGAAACAAATGTGTGTGTGTGTGTGTGTGTGTTTCTTCAAGGAAACCCTTTTTGGTTAGCTTGGCATGGGAAACCAAAAAGAGACCCAGCTTTTTTGTTTGGGGGATTCCCATGTATTAAACAAAAACAAGTAAGTAAGAAGGCGTTGTCTTGAAGGCCCAGTTGTCATGATAGCCCTTTTGAGGCCCCTTTTCCATTGCACGTATTGTAAGGCCCATGACCAGAGTGGGGTTGGGGGGGGGGAACTTTTACGCCAAAGGACAGTTCAAAGCTGCGAATTCGCGGGAGAAGCAAATCGGGTTCCAGCTTGATCACAAATCGAGGCCGACGAGGCGCTGCTCATACTGGTGGTTTATCCGCGCATGCATCCCGACCGGCAAATGCTTTAGTTCTTATTTGACTAGGTTGTAGGTTTTCAGCTCTCCAGCCACACGCTGTCCAAGGACAGGTGACCTGGTGGTCTTGAGTCCGAAGGCCCCGTACTCATGGCTTATCTTTGACTTACCCAGCAAAATATCCCCGACTCTGGAGGGTTGGTGTTTTGCAATCCTGAGATTGCACCCTTGGGAAATGGCCCAAAATGGTCCAAAATAGCATGATGTTATCCCGGAATATGCCTAAATGGGGTCATTTCCCAGTGGGCGTAATCCCAGGGTGTGATACCAAAACCAAAGGTACCAAAAGGTGCACCACCCATTTTAGTCTATTTTACTGGGGATTGGGATGTTCACTGGGGGTACGATTTGGATTTTGACCCCCGTTTTGGGGAAAGTCCCGCGGCACTACGCCACGCAAAAGCTGTGACGTGCTGCCAGGAAGGCGTCAGCGGAGGAGAAGCGGAAGCGCAAGGAGGCAACTGAGGGGTCTGAGTTCTTCTTCGCAGCTTTTGGGTTTTCAGCGCTCACTCGACCCCAACAAGACAGTTGCCCAGTGGTACCCTGTTTTTTTTTTGGGGGGGGGAAGGGTTCCCCTTTAAAGTCAAGCAACCAAGAAAGGATGCAGATTCTCTTTTTTTGGTCCCATGGGCGCCAGGCAGGCATCTGAGTTAAACCCAGGTTCATTCCCCAAAACGGGGTTTAAGTCTATCTTGGGGTAGTGACACCCACGGTGGGAATTCCCCAGCGAATGGTCCGGTTCCGTAGGCGGTTTTTTTGGTTTTTAGATGGTTCAGTGGAAGCTTTTGGCGAAAAAGATCTGAGGACAGAGTCCCCCCAGTTTGGGGAGAATGGTCTAAAGTTGTACGCCGCAACATGGCCCTGGCCGCATCGTTTCTTCGACATGGAACCAACTGGGTCCATGGAAGCTACAAAAGGTTAGAGCTTGAATGCCCCGGGTGTAGAATTGGTCTGAAGATAAGTTTCACTGTTATTGGCGATGTGTTTTGGTTTGTTCGGTTCTGTTCATTGTTTGCAGGGGGCTACAAAAAAGTTTGCGGCTGCCATCATGAAGTTTAGTTGCGCACAACAAGCGTCGATTTGCTGACCAATTCACCCAGGAAGTGCGAAGTAGAATGGGTTGTCGGATATTTGTGGTAATTATGTGGCGCCTAGGCCAGAGGAACACCCGTGGTCTTCCATCACACCAAGGTCCATCAGCATATTTGAGGCATAGCATGGGGGGTGTAAAGACCTGCGAACTGAATCCGTCGCGGGTTCACCATTAGGCTTTAGGGTGATGGGTGTTCTGGTTTGGGGCGTCATCTTGGGGAATGATTTACATGCGTGCGACTCCCGGATTGTTTGGACTACTTATGGCTGGAGGATGTTTCAGCCCACCTGAGCTTGGTGTGCCAAAGTTGTGAGAAACGGGCAGTCGTTCAGCCCTTCGCAGCTGCCGCACCTCAGCTTCAGGTGTCTCAGGCTTCTTACCTGGACTTTGTTTCCTGCACCTCACCTGGGAGACTGGTCGTACGTGAACTTGACTGGATTCGTCTTGGAAAGCACGGACGACGTCTTCAAAATCTTCGATGGAAGAGGCCGTGCTGCAGTAGCGCGATTGGTTGCCAAAAGTGGCCCGAAGGTCTTGGAAGGCGTGGCGACGAAGATGATGGTGATGCCGGGTGCAAAAGAACAACGTGACATATGACGGCCCATCAAGAATGGGACCTAAACAAGCAACACCCTCATGCAGGGTTGTTCCGAAGCGTTCTTCAAACATGCTCAAGCCTCCTTCTTTTTGTGTACCTTGCCGTGCCAAATTTTACGCTTGCGCCGTTTGGCCCTTTTGAGCTTCCAATTGTTTAAGATTTGTTTGTTTGTTTTTCCCCCTGTTGGTTTTAAAAGGAATCGATCACAACTGGAAATATTTCTATTTTTTCCAAGGGGCTTAAGCAAATGGAAGTGAGTCATTCTATTGCATCCCCTCGAAATTATTGGCATGCGCTGGCTCATGCTTTGCTCCCTTCAAGCACTAGCTCCAAACCACATATATCAGAGGAAAGTTGAGGTTTTTGGAGGATTTGGATTTGTTCAACCCCATTCCAAAACATCCAAACCACTCCAACTGAACAATTCTAATTGGAACTACCCCCCTGTTTGTCACGCCCTCGTGTCAACAACAAGCTTTTCAGGTGGAGTGCCAACCGCACGCCAAAGCTTTTCAGGTCGAAGCCAAGCAGCACGCAGAGGCGGGGAGAGGCCTCCAACACGTCGTCAGGTGGGCCACTTGCTCAGCACCCAGGTTTTTTTCCTAATCCCTTGAATTACTCCCACGCACCCAAAACCATCCGCGCCATCACCCTCAACAGCACTCCCGGAGCACCCGGCTGTCAATCTCGCAAACAGCACCTCAAAGAGCACCCCAAACACCATCCCAAAGCAGCACCTTCGCCAGCACCCCAGACTGCATGCCTAGCACCCTACCGCCAATCTTGCAAAAGTGCGCCGGCACTGTCACCTCACACCCCAAAACAGCACCTGCGCCAGCACCCAAACTGCATACCCTAGCACCCTGCCGTTAATCCAAATAAGATGCGCCCGCGCCATCACTAGCAGCTCAAACAGCACCTACACCAGCACCCCAAACTGCGTGCCCCCTAGCACCCAGCCGGCAATCTCGCAAATCACTTTCCCTTCTTTCTTGGAAGTTAGAACCCCTATAGCTTTCAGCTATCTGGGGAAAAACACCAGGGTTTGACAAGGAGTCAGGTTAGGCCTCGTTTCGGAGGGCGGTCGCCCGTAAGCCTTAGGGGCTTCAAGAGGGTCTCTATCTCGCTTCCGGGTGCCGGGCTGGTGAGCCAACCGTTACCCGAGACTCGACCCCCAAATGTTGACCCAGCGCCCCCTCCAAATGCTGGCCCATTTTTATTTATTTTTTAAAGAGAGTGAGCTTGACTTCCTGGGAGGCCTCAGGCTGTCTGCTCTCATCCTTGTAGTTGGGGAGCGGGGCCTTCTACGCCACGCGCGTAGCGAATCGACGGCCAGTTTTCTCGGCCTTCAAACATCTTGCTGGTGAAACCGCCGTTTTGGCACCATCCAAACCGGATTGGAGATTCTGGAAACAGTTTCCCTCGCGGGCCTTCCGGCGGGGCTTTATGTAAAGTGGACGGGTATGGTTTCTGCCTGTGATTCTCAAAATCTATGCTGGGTGCTAGATAGTCCATGGTCATTCGGCTTAGGAAGCCTAAAGGAGCTGAGTATTTGTTTCTTTCAGCCTATTGACCCAAAGAGAGAAGTAAACTCAAAGCTTCTGGCATGTGTCTCACACAGTGATTTATTTGCAATACATCCAGGGCATGTCTCGAACATATGGGACGCCGATGGCTCCCTTTCAAGTAATTAGGCAGTATTTGCCAATTGGCATGAACCCCAAATTCTTTCTTTGGTTCCATGCCATTCTGCAGGGTAGCAATTTGCGCGCATGAAGCATGGATAGCTCCTAGAATGGATTTGTTCCCCGTGATGACATGGAACCATACCCAAAATGATTTGTGGAGGAAAGGCCATCCTCTTGGCATTCCTCTTGCCACGCCACTACTTTTTGGGCTTGGGATTCTGGAAAAAGTCGGAAAATCAGTTGTTGGGGCATGGGACCTCCAAATTCGGCCACCTCACTTTTTGGTGGGTGCCCTTTTTTTTCTCCACTGTCCTGTTGAGTGTGCTGTTGGGAGGCGGGGGGGGCGGGCGAAAGGTAGGTTCGGGCGCCTGTGCCACGAGGTGAACCGCGCGGCCAAGGAGATCCGTGCAGTGCTGGGCAAGCTGAAGGTGGTGAGGTGCCGCGGTGGAGGGGGGGGGGGTCGATCTTGTTGTAGGAGCCAGAGGTTGCCCTAGTAAAGGCAACGCAGGTGGTTTAGGACAAGGGCTTGAATAATTTACGTAGGGTTGTGGGGTGCTACATGAACCATGGGCTGTCATTTTCCCAAAAAGGATGCTGTTAGTTGGCGCCCGATTTCTTCAGGCAAGAAGCAAACCAAAACACGGCATGTTTCCGGACCTGGAAACTTGGTCCAGAACCCCCCTCCCCTCCTCCAGCGTTATTTTTTCCAGACCCCTTTTTCCTGTAGTTTATTTTAGTAGGGGAGCCCTCCCCCAAAAAAGGGTGAAAGGGCACTACTGGGAGACCTAGTCATTGTTTGCTTGCTTTTGTTTTTAGGTGGGGGGGGGTACCCTTATAGCTGTCTGGCCCAAATCCATTCAGCTCAGGGAGTAGAGCCCCCGGGAACCTGCGACACTCCATGGTGCGTTGGTCGTCCACCCACAGTGCCCCGCTTTTCGTGTGCGGGGCCCCCTCCCCCCCCCTTTTTGGTGGTGTCGCCCTTTCCCCTGGCTTGGTCTCTTCGTTGATGGCTGCTTCGCTTTGGTCCTGGCGTGTGGGTTGCTTTGGTGGGGTTCCGCTGCATGTGCCCACCCCTGCGTTAGGGATGGGCCCTGTTCTTCGGCCCCCTCCTCTCACTGCATGGTGGCGATTTGATGCCCTAGGTGCCGGGTGCAAACCTCATGGTCCCTCCCCGGGAATTCCACCTCCGGCAGTGATTTGTACTTTGTGGTGCTGCTGCTCTACATTCCCTGTGGCCTTGGTGATTTTGCCTCTCTGGAGACCTACAGTTGTACAGTGTTTCGGCTTTCCTCTACCACTTGGGCGTGACTCTGGGTACGACCTTGTCCTTTGTTGGTACATCCTCATCTACCGGACTTGTGGGGTTGATAGTCAACCGGTAGCTGTTCAGCGTGACGGTGCCCAGCAACAGCATTTTATGCCGACTTTCCTCGGGCCTTTTATTGTTTCCTTCGCCTGGTATTCAGGTCTATGGACGTATGCTACGCCTCCTGCAAGCTCTCTCTGGGCAAGGATGTGTTGTGATGTCCCAGGTGAGTTCCGACACTGCCAAGACTGCCTACGTGCCGTACCTCGGGTTCAATGTGGTGGTCGTGGCTCCCCAGCGCTCCCAGCGCTAAGCCGGGAGACTTCCTGACCTCCTGATGCACTGCCGGCACGTTTTTCAGGCAGCCAATGTGCCTGTTGCCCACCCCCCCATTCCCTTCCTGCGGGTTGGGACTGGTGGGTGCTGGGCTTGTCGACTTCGTGCTCTTACCAGCCAGTGGAAGGGGGTCCCCCCTCTTTCCGCTGGTTTTGTGCCCTTGCCAGGTTTCACACCTCCGGTTGAGCCGCTCCCGGAGGTTTGTGTGCGGGGCTGATGCCCTTCTTTTCACCGGTAGTAGGGCGGCATGCTCTACCACCCGCGCGCGCTCTACATTCGTGCGTCACGTGCCAAAAGGGTACCCTTATTACTGGAGGACCTAGATGAAAAGAACCAGCAAATCCAGACCACCCCCTCCCCCCCCCTCGGGACCAGCATTCAGCTGACAAAACAGTCATGTAGCCACAGTACCCCTTGTCCACTAGCCACGAAAAGGATACCCTCCAAAAGCGATACCCGCATAGCGCGGGGCCCAAATAACTATTAATGTTTGAGCTCGGGGTTTTGGGGCATAAAAACAACAACAAAGAAAAAACAAAACAACAACAAAAACACCACATCTTGCCATGCTTGCAATGGGAATAGCCCGCTTCAAGCTCTGTGGGGGGTTTCCTCGCCTTTCGCTACGCTTCGCTCCGCCGCTTCGCCAGGGTGGAGAACCTGGAGGAGTTGGAAGGCGAGCTGAAGACGGTCATGGAGAAGGCGGGGGATGCCTCTCTCTGCCCCCCCCAGCTAGGTGCCCTTTTACCGATTCTTTTTTCGGTTTTTTGGTTCCTGCATCCATTTGCTGAAATGATTTTTTGTGTATATTAAGAAAAAACCTTGTTGGTGTTTAGAGGGCATCGATTTCACTACTAGAAATATTTATATTTTTGCCCAAGGGGCTGAAGCAAATGGAAGTCTGGTGTGACAAGTTTACTGGCATACACAAAGTTTGGTTACCTAGGTCCCCCAGTCGTGCTCTTTCTCACCAACTTTTTGGGGGTTTTGGGTTCCCCCACTAAAATAGACTACAGAAAAAGGGGCACCCTTATTCTAACCTCTCTACTGGACAACCTAGACACTCTCCGGAGTGACTCGAAAAGCTTGACGCTCAGGTGGCAAGGGTTTACCCTTAGCAAGAACTGAAGAAAGCTCGAAAGGAAGCCTCCAGGAAATTCGAATGCCACATCGATCACACACACCAAAACATAAAATCAGACAGCACATCTCAAAAGGGAAGTTCGAATTCCGCATTGCAGAAAGACCAGCACAAAAACCAGGGGCTTGGGCGGTTTCCTGGAGAAATTGTCCTGGAGATGGTGTAAACACGAGGGTTCCTGCAGAGAGGGTTCCTGCTGTGCCATCTTTCCAGCAATGGAAGTGGAACCTTTGTCCTCCCAAAACCCTGCATGGTGTCAGCTTTCATGGGCGAAAGCAATCGAGCGTTTGGTGGTTTTCAACCTGTTACCAGTTCTTGTCTCACTTGCCCAAAGCCGAATGTTTGGCCTTTTGGTTTCCATTTTTTTGCAAAACTGCCAAAAGTTAAGAAAGCATAAACCCCCCCTCCCTTACCCCCCCCCCCTTGAGACATGCTATAGCACTGCTATTGGAGTGTTATAACACTGTTAAAGTATTTGGCTCCAAAAGGGTACCCCACTGACTACAAGCCCTGGAAACTGACACCCACCACTACGCTCATGCTCGTCCCCCTCGCACCCCTTCCTTCCCCGTCCCCTGCCCTTCCCGTCCGCTCCCCCGAAGCTTCAGAAGTCCGTAAGTCTTCCGCAAGGCTTCCGGAAGCTTCCGGAAGCTTCCGGAAGCTTCCGGAAGCCTTGCGGAAGCTTCCGGAAGCCTTGGGGAAGCTTCCGGAAGCTTCGGGAAAAAGGGGGGGGAGGGGGGGACCACCCTTGTTTCAATCTCCCCCCCTTTTTCCCAAAGCTTCCCTAAGGCTTCCGGAAGCTTCCGCAAGGCTTCCGGAAGCTTCCCCAAGGCTTTCGGGAAGCTTCCCACCTATTTGGCCCAAAGCAGGGGGGGGGTAAAGGGGGGGGGGGGTTGCGGCTTCTTAAAAAAGGTTAACCATCTATTTCTGGGTCCTTGGCTGGGCTGAATCCTTCATCCTTACCTGGGGTTACGCAAGGAACCGGTCGCCTTTGCAGTGGCTTCCCGATAGCAAGGATGGATTTGGATGGGCCAAGCCTCCATTTTGCGGACAGCCCAGCTTGGGCAACGCGAATCGAGCTTTGGACCTAAGGGATTTTCCATTGTGGTGGCAACTTGTGGTAGGGGTGCCAAAACTAGGTCCCACAGTAGTGCCCTTTCTCCTCCTCTTTTGGTTGGGAGGGTTCCCCTACTAAAATCGACTACAGAAAAAATGGTAATTCCGATTATTCTATCCTCTCTACTGGAGGACCTAGAAAAGGTTTGCCTCTTCTGGGCCCTTGGGCAACGGAGTTCTTGGCTTTGGAGCCTTGGCCCACGAGAAGCTCGCTGTGTTGGCGCCAGGAGCTGGGCAACTGCGACCCGAAGGCCAAGATGCAAGAGGAGCGAGCCATTTGAGCCACCTGCTCAAATCCCCGGGGATTTTCACGAAGGTGAGTAAGGGATCCCCTTGCCATAAATCGCTGTTGATACCCGCCTTGTTAATCTTCCATTTGGTTGCTAAATATGTATTTGTATTTCCCCCTGTTGGCTTTAAAGGGAATCTACTATTACTGGAAATATTTTTGTTATTTGTTTTCCAGGGGACTTAATCAAGTGGAGGTAACTGTTTACATGGTTCTAGATAGACCATGTTTAGACCGGGTTCTGACTATGACCCATTTCCGCCTCGACGGGGTGCTTCGATCTTCGTTTTTTGGGGGAGCCAAAAGTTTGGTTCGGCTTAAAGCCAAGAGCAGAACGAGACACAGGCTTTTGGGGACCAAAGGAAGAGCCTCTGGCGTACCAAAAGTTTGGGTACTTTTTTTGGGCCATCCACTTGATCGGAAGGGAGAAGAACACATCTTTAGGGGCCGAAACTCAAGTCAGAGGCGTGCGTGCACAGGAGTGCGACAAGGCTCTCGAGCAGGTGTGGGGGAGGGCTCGGGAGTAGGGCCGAGGCATCGAGGAAAGGCCTTTGCCCAACTTTTGGATCTTGGAGTCTGAGACTTTGAAGCGTTTAGGAGCTAGGGATTAATGACATGACATAACATGCCCCAAAAGTCGGCATCGAGAGGTCACCCGTTGGCCGTAGCCTGGAGTTGTGCCATTCGACCTTGATTTTTTTCTCGGGGCTGCAGAACCTGCGGAGATCCTCATCCCGACAAAAACGGGATGCGGTATTGCACAAGTGGGATGCAAGAAATTGGGCCTTTCGCATGTCTTTGGCAACTTTGCCGAAAAGTCTTTGGTCATGAGTCATGAGATTGACCCTGACTTTCATTGGGTATCACAAGTTCTTCTCATCTTCTTCGTTTGGCTGGAAGAGGCGCTGGAGGTCCAAATCCGCGATGCAAATCTCGACATTATATACTTGTGGGTTCAGTGAAAGTTCAGCTTTTAGCAGATCTGAAAACGGACTTCCCAGTGCATCTGTATATACATATGTCATACAAACACATTGATATTGCCCCCCCCCCCCCCTCCCCTTGCCCTCCCCCCTTCATATGTTATACACACATTGATATTCCCCCCCCCCCCCCCTCCCTCTCCCCCCCTTCCCCCTCCCCCCTCCCGGTCCAACCCCCCAGGTCCGACAGCCCGACGCTCCGACGCTCCGATCCGACCGCCCGGCGCTCGATGCGACCGCGAGGCCAAGAAACGGGTGGAGCAGCTTAAGGAGGCCCAGGCGAGGAAGCGCGAAGCGCGAGCTCGCTGAAGAGCTCTTCTTGCGGCTGAAGAGCCCGGGGTCGAGTTGTTTTTTTCTTTTTGTGTGTGTGTGTGTTGTTCTTCTTCTTTTCTTTTTGTTTGGGGGGGGGGTTGATGTCTCTTTCTTTATTTTTTTTTTGTGGGGAGTCAGTTTGTTGTCTTTTTTTGGTGTTGTTTTTTGTTGGGGGGGGGGGGTTATTTGTAGTTGCCTTTTTGCAGGTAGGTGTACCCCAAACAAAGGGGTTGGAAGAGTGGAAGCCAGAAAGGACACCGACAACCAGCCGACAATTTTTGTGGGGTGGGCCCTTTTTTTGAGGAGGCAAGTAAACAAAACACTGAAAACAATGTGTGTGTGTGTGTGAGATGGTTTGTTGTTTTGTTGGGGTCTTTTTTGTCCGGGGGGGCAGTTGTAACAGGGCTCCAGTTCACTACCCGAGGGTAGGTTTCTTACCAGCCAAGGCCAGGGGAACATTCTACAAATAGATCCAAAAAACGGATGTGTCCCTGTGCCAAAGGGCGGCCTTCACCATGAGTTGATTTTGTGATTGTCTTCATGTTGGGGGGGCCTTAACTTGATGGTTCCCATCTGAGTCCCTAGTGTTTTTAGCGGTTCTTAGGTGGTTTTTAGGTGGTAGTTTTCCACTGAACCGCTCAACTTTTGGGGGATGGAAGGGGAACAGTTCAGTACAACATTCTTTGGAGACATGTCCCATACTGCTGTTGGGTTGGAGCTTTAGACTTTAACTTTTTGGATTCCCCTCATAGTTCCTTTGAACCAGCAAAAAGCTAAACTTTTTGCTGGGGGATCTACAGCACCCAAGTGTCCAATCCGTTGCTTTCAGGCGAAGGCGGAGCCGATGATGAAGGAGCCGAGGGTTCTTTTGCGACAGGGGAGGTTCTCCAACCTGATCAGGCTAGCCCTTCGTTGCTGATACTGTGGGTGGACGAAATCCACCGCTTTGAATCCATGCAGAACCAGTGTCCGTTGGTATTTGCAGGGGAATCATCATTTCAGGGTTTCTTAGGTAGTGCAGGATTTCGTCCACCCACAGTATGGATTGGTGGTGGGCCTGGCACCGGTGGTCCTTGTAGAGGGCAAATGTGAAGCCACGACCAAGCCACCAGTCCAAACCACAATTGGATGGAGGCTGAAATAGGAGGCCCGCTTGTTGGATGCGGACTAGTGGTTTGTAGGTTGGGCAGGCTCACTTGCCCGCAACCGACCTGTTGACCTTCGGCCGGGTCAAACAAATAGGGGAACCAAATGGTTGCCCAGGTAAATGGAACCTGAAACCTGCGAGTTGTTTTTTATCGCCGCTTCAAGCAATTTCCCTTGGCAGGAGCTGGAGTCTTTGCTCAAGGTGGCCGAGGCGTGAAAATGGGGAGCCCGCAGATGGGGGCTTTCTCCAACATAGAACTCTCGGGCCTCTTTGGGGTGGTTGCTAGTGAGCCAACAGGAAACAGTTCTCAAGGAAATCGGCTTAGCAGTGCATCTTCTTTCTAGCTCAGTAGTTTGTTTGCCGTAGAGGGACACTGTTCTAGCCTCACTCCCTGAATTCATGTTCTCTTTCAAGTTTTTGAGGCAATGTTGACCCCATATTAATCAACCCCTGTTAAGTAATCTGATTCCCCACATTTCACCCAGAGACACTGGGACCCCTATTAATAAGCCGGGCTTGATTCATATGGGAGCAACATTACAGAACAAGCTCCGACCTTTTTGGGGCCAGTCCAGGCAAGAGAGCTAAAGTAAGACTTTTTCTGGCCAAGCCACTCGATCGGAAGTGAACACAGCTAGAACGTTTGGCACCAAGATCACTTGCGAGTGGACCCCGGCCCGGCCACTGTAGGTAGCCAGCCTCTCGAGCATTATTGGTGGACAAGAAGAACCATTAGTGATGTCCGCCAAAGGGTCCCTATTTAAATTCACACCTATCTTGAAATGTTGTACCTAGTTCTAGTTGGTGCTTTGGATTCTTTTGGATTGGTGGCTTGGGGATTTGAACCTGTTTGTGTATATAGGCAAATAAGCCCGCCAATCAGAGGGAAGCTGAACCACTGAAGCAAGTAACCCTTCGCAACTGTCCTGTTGGTTTCTTCCAAGGGCGGCCCATGCCCTTGATTACCTACAAAACCAGGTGCCCTCCTTCCAACAATGCTGGAGGCTGGCAGAAGAGTTCTGGAAGCCTATTTGCCTTAGGGGGAAGCCCCCGGTCATCCACTTCCATGATTGTTGGAGAGGGGGTATCTTCCATTTGAGATTTGGGTGTGTTTTTTTTGGAGGTAAAGAGAAACCAAACGGATTGTTGGAAAAGGTGTGCCTTGATGTTCGATGTGCCAAGTTGGCAAATAGTTACCCTGGGTCAGAACCCACCAATACCATGGATAACTCCGCTGAACGGGGGACTTAGGTCACCGAAAACCCAAGTACCATCTTAGTACATGAGAGCGCTGGGGTTCCTTACGCTTTTTTTCAGGATCCTTACGGTTAGGGAAAAACAGACACATCCCCAAATGACATCACATATTTTCACACTTTCCTGTGCACCAGAAATTCCCTAATTCATGCCCCCACAGGACGTACTGGGCGGAAGGGATTTGTTTTCTCGTCAGGTGGCCATGGAGGCGCTGCAAAAGAAGGCGACGATCGCCTGGGATCGAATCATCTCGAGCCGCTTCCTTCGAATCCGAAGCCCCGAAGAAGGTCCGACTCGGTCCCTTAAGCCATATATGGCGACAAAGGGAAGTGCCCAACCGGCTCATTCCCCAAAAAAAGCCACCTTTTGAAGACAGGGACAATGGTTTCACTAAAAACAATGTTGAGCTGACTGAAGGCTTCACCGTCGTATTTTCCCATTTCGCAAACGTGTTTGTCTTCAGAAGAGTTCTTCCATTTGCTGAAACGAAGATTTGTTCTTTTGTTCCCGGCTGTTGGGTTTTAAAGGGAATCGAAGTCACTCCTGGACATATTTTTCCATAATTTTGTCGATTGGGCCGAAAAGGCCAATGGAAGCTTTGGTTGGCAAAGTCCGCTGAGTCAGAAGCCGAAGTAAAACCACCTATAACGACCTGGAGTTGGTCGACATTTTTCCAGGGGCCATGTGGCCATTTTATCTGGACCATAGCTTGACGATGCAGTGAGGCAGCCTCGCTGAGTATGGGCAAAGGCGCCCCCCAAAGTGTAACGTTCCATCAAACACGTGGAAAACCCGGCGACGTCGGCACCGGGGGTCCCTCATTTCCATTTTCAGAGGCCCCCGCTTGATATGAGAGGGGCAGTCGCCGGTGGTATGAGACATGTGGGTCAAAAGGAGAGCCACAAGTTCAAACAACAGACCTATACAATCAGCCTTTGGTATGTTCTACCCTCCCACCAATAAACATGACCATAGACCCCCCCCCCAATGCCAATGGGAGGGCAACACCCTGGTGCTGGTGCCCGTACGAAAGACATCTAGCAGACTTCCACAAGGGAAAAGATATCCTAACAACATACATAGAAGTATATATATATATATACATACACACACACACATATATATATATACATATTAGCTTCTTCTACAAAGTGTAGATATACATTTGCACACTTGCGTGTTCAGATGCCAAACTTGGAACTTGTTGTGAACCAGGTTCTCCATCATTTCAGTCTGCCAAAAGTGGACAAAGACGTAAACGTCTTGATATTGGATCCTTTTCCCGAATGTACCTAAAAAGAAAAGAAATGCAATCTGCACTGGGGTTGGGGGGCCTAACATTTTCTGACAGACCTCGTTTCACCTAATTACCCCCCACAGACAAAAGGAACAAGCAACTGCAGTCGGGGTTTCTAACAGACCTCAAATGTACATTTGGGTTTGTTTCAATATAATCCCCCCCCTCCAGACGCCTTTCGGCTTCAAAAAGCTTTTCCGCTTCCGCCTGATTTGCATCGCATCGCATCGCGAGATCACCAAGAGCTCCTTGGAGGAGGCGGAGGCATCCACGGAGGCGGGGCGACGGGTTTCGGGGGACGGGTTGCGGCTTCAAGGCGGCGGTGGTCGGGCGGTCCGTTTTGGGTCTCCCAAGACGAGTTGTTTCGATGTTGCCCAGTGCAATTGTCCGGTTTGTGATTTGAGGTTCTTAGTTGTTTTTCTTGAGGTGGTGGAGTGGTTGGGTTTCCATGTAAACCGCGCTGGCCCCCTTTTGGGGTTCCTTTCAGCCCAAACAACTCACTGCCCCCGAAGCCAACGGCCTGTGTTCGGGGTTTCCGAGCCATTTGTCCCTTTCAAGGGAACCTCCAAAAAAGTGGCGATCGTTTCCATAGTAAATGACTGTACCTTTTACAAAAAATCCAGCGACCCCTGTGCTTGGCCTTGTTCGCTTGGGGAGAAAGGGGCTCAAGAATGTAGAGGTACCTTCCCCATTCTTTGCAGGGATCCTTCTTTCCGGCAAACCTCCGGAAACCCAGGGGAAAACGGATCCGGTTTTTGGAAAGAACCATGGTTGAAAAGAATGGAACAAGAATCAACCCCTTGATTTTCAGGTCATGTTGACCTTCGCGGTTGATTATTCGCCGGGTGTCCCCAAGAAAAGTGTTCCCCCTGTTGTCCTCGGCAAACTGAGGGAATCAACCCCTAGATTTGTTGCATGCCACTAAAATGGGTCTTCTCAAGTTCAATTTCCAGAAGCTCAGGAAGCGAGGCTCTTCCTCTGGTCCCCTAAACCCGCGTCTCGTTTTTTTTGGTTTGCTGTAGTTTGGGGAGTGGCATGGGGAATCAACCCCTGGATTTGCGTCGCCTTTTTGTCAAAATGGGAACCCAAAAACGGGCTCCCCGGACTCAACCCCTAAGACCCCCGAGAAACGCCTCGTACAGGCCTGCTCGAAGTACATCATCGAGGGGGGCTCCGTGCTCACCATGGGCGAGGCGCGGCGATTGATGCGAGGGAGGCCCCTGGCGAGTCCTGGCGAGTAAGCCGGCGGCACGCGGCGAAGCAAAGCACGTGAGACCATGGTGACATGGCTGTTGTTGGGAAATATGTCACTTTTTGCTTATTGTTGGTTTAACATGGCTGTTGTTGGGAAAGATTTTACTTTTTGCTTTGTTGGTTTAACCTGGTTGTTGTTGGGAACCATGTTACTTTTTTGCTTATTGCTGGTTGAGTGGTTGAAATCCCCACTTAACTGCTAAAAAATAGATTGTGGCTTCCCTTTCCGACGTCAACCAAGGTAACATATAAAAAAAAAACATGAGGGGGCTCAACCACAAGCCCACGGGAATTGTCGGTTTGTCTAGGGGGTTCAACCGCATGAACCATTTTAACTTATGCTGAACTAGTGGGTTTCAGCCACAACACTCCGGAAATTTCGGGTAAATTCGGCGCCCAGGTCAGGGGCTTGAGAAGTCCAGGGCTGAAAGTGGCCGAAGGTGGCAACTGCCAGGCAGCGCCATCCTTGACTGCTATTGGGCAACGGATCTTTAGATGTTAGCTTCTTGGAAAACCAAGGGGTCTTCCACGAAACCCACAAGAAGTTATGTTTTGTTTTTCTTCTTTCTTTTTTTCCAGGGATCAACGGTAACCACGCATCATTGTCCCTTTTGTGAACCCTTGGCCACAAAAAGTGGAACAGACCATGTGCAAGCAGACTCCCTAGGACTCATGGGAAGTGCGGAAACACATTAAACTTTGTCAATCATACGTAAAGCACGCTTTACAATTCCGGGGTGGCAACCACCAAAAGCAAAGGCAAGCACGATGCACCTTTTTGCGCACGGGGCTTGGTAGCTTCCTTCGCCATATGGGCCACACTCAAGGGGATGGTTCTTGCACATTGGCTAAGCTCCTTGCGGCGCATGCCCATACTGCAAGTAAACCAACCACAGTCTCCCACAAAACCATGGTAAATTAGGGGAACCTCGGTTTCCTTGTCTCCCTTCCTGAGTTCATGAACTTAACACTGTTCGGGAAGACCATTTTAGTGGCAAACAGACAGTTCAGACTGTTTTTGGGCCATCCACTCAGGAAGTGAGTCGTGCTCCGAAAGAAAAACCCTGTCATACCCTCACTTGCCCAGTGGCGCCAATTCTTTTTTCATTTTAAACCAACCAACCTTTAAACCAACCGACCTAAAAAAAAGATGCCCTCTTTTTTCCCATGGAAATCCACGGGGCATCTGAGTACCAGATTTGGTTGCTCCCATGGAGCCGGCCTCTGCCACTTCCTCGCCCTCGCCCTCGGCACCCTGCGCGGCGCGGGCGGCGGGCGAAGAGTTCCTGGCGCGGCTGCGGCTGTCAGTGCCGCTGGCAGCGGAGAGCCGACGCGAGTGGTGCTGTGGGACACCTGGCGCGGGGGTTTTCCTCGTAAGGCTGCTGCTTCTTTGGTGCATTTTGCCAAGGGATGTTAGGACTTTAACTTTTTGCCAACTAATGGGTGTTCCATTAAACCACTAAATTTGATTTTTTTAATCAGGGGAGCAGACAGCAACCGAGGGGCTTGTTTGTTGGGGGGGGGGCATGGGTTTGTTTAGGGGCGAGGGATTTAGAGCACCTTCTCTGATTGGTGGTGTGGTTTGGTGCTTCTGACTGGACAACTTTAGCGGCCAGCAATCGATGGGTTTCTTCTTTGGCCAGCCCGCTCGGGAAGGAGGGTGGGGCCCCTGGGGATCAGAGGGAGAAAGAGCAGGAGGCCCCTTTTTGCATCGCTATCAGTGAGCTGTTGTGTGTTTGCAGGTGCACATATCGCAGGCGTGGCGAGTCCCACTGCAGTGGTGCAAATGTTGGAATCCATTTCTGGGTCACAGAATGTCTAGTTGACCACTGTCCGGCGAGGCGGTAAGAGGTTGAACCCCCCCCCTCCAAGGACCCCCGGGGTCCAACTAGATAAACAAAAGCGGCCAAACGGCCTTCTCCCAGCAAGAAAGGGCGGGTGCTAATGACAAGGGCCCAAATGATTAGAATGGGATGCAGGGCACGTGAAATCAAAATTTCACACAAATGATCAAACCGGCAAAGTCTTGTTGTTTGATCGGCTTCTCCTATTAGGTGGCCATAGAAGTGAGAGGTCCATACGTCGGCTATGGAGGGGCACCTGTTAAACATATATCAATCCAGGGGCCTGCGGGTTTTCGAGCAATCAGCCTGGCTTGTCCAATCCCTTCCTGGCGTTTCCTTTTTTGTTGTGGAGTGGGTAGCCTACCAAAAGGAAAGCCACCATTCTGGAAGGTATACCAAAGAACAAGGTGGCAACGCTTTTTCCCACAGCATCACGGGCATCTGGGTGACCAATTAGCCATTTTGCAACTGCTTGCATTTGCTTAACAAAATATGGTTTATGTCATTTCCCCTTGTTGATTTTAAAGGGAATCTATCATTGAACACTTAAGCAAATGGAGGACTATGTTTCGCTTCAAGCCCGCTGGCTGAAGGTTTGGGTTGCCATCCGCATCGGCGTCGATCCGCCTCTCCTTTGCTCACTTCCTGAGTTCACGGACTTTATCTAGGTTATCCAGTAGTGCGCCTACTAAGATAGACTACGGAAAGAAGGGCCCCCGAATTCTATCCTCTCTACTGGAGGACCTAGTCATTTGTTTCTTTGTGAGCAAACCATTCGAGTGGCGGTTCGGTGGCTGCTTTGGGCCCATCGAACTCGGCCAGAAAGCGCCCGTGTGTAGGTTTGAGGGGTAGCTGCGCTTGCTGAATCCAGCGGCCTGGGTGACGTTGATGTTGCATCCTGTCCCAAACCTTCAGCCAGGGGCGGGTTTGAAGCGACACATAGTGGCCAAATGGCGCATTGGTCACCCAGATGCCCGTTGATGCCATGGGGAAAGTGTTGCTAACTTGTTCTTTGGTAAAAAAGGGCTCCCCCCGGAATGGTGGCTTTCCTTTTGGTAGGCTACTAACTCCACAAAAATAAAGAGCAGGGATCCTTACATTGTACACCTGAACATTGCCAGAAGTAAATGGTGGCTTGGATCGGCCCACCCCCCCCTCTCCCCCCCTCTCCACCCCCCCTCCCCCACCCCCCAACCTCCCTCGATCTCGTTGGATCTGAGGAGGTGGGGGGCGCTCTACTGCTGCCTCTGCCTCAGGCGCCTCACGAGCGCCCCGGAACCACAGGACCTGGGCCTGCCGGTGCTCATCCTCCGGCGCCTTCGGCTGGCCTAAATGCCCGGCGCGCGCAAAGGCGCCCGGCGCGCGCAAAGGCGCCCGGCGCAAAAGCGCGACCACGCCTAAGCTTGTTTTTTTCCCCCCCCCTTTTCGGTTTTCATGCGGGGAAGACGGGGTGGAGCCCCGCAAAAAAAAACAAGCCATTTTGTAGAGGAAACTGCTTTTGGAACCTCCACCCCCCGGCCCGCTTGTGGGTTCCGTGTTAGTTTGTATATGGGAGTTCCGAAAAGGAGGGTCCCACTCAATTGGTTAACAAAATTCCCTGTCAATTCGTTATTTCCCACCCACCCACCCCCCTCCCCAACCCCCCGCTCCCCCCCACCCCTCCCCCACCCCAACCCCCCGCACCCACCCCACCCCACCCCACCACCAGACCATCAGCCCGAGGCATCCCAAGGAGACACCGCCCAAGAGCTCGGCCGCCCCCCTGCCGCTGCTCTCCCAGGAGCCACCGCATCGGATCGCATCGCGCATCGGATGCCATCGGATGCCATCGGATGCCATCGGATGCCATCGGATGCCATCGGATCGGAACCCAAAGAGGGAAGGTGAGTTAAAGTCAACCACACAGGGAGCAAAGCACGGGCGAGACACAACCAGAAGAGTGTAAGTTGATGATGGTTTTATGATTTGTGATTTGTGATTTTGATTGTGATTGTGTGTGTGTGTGTTTTATGGTTGGTTGGTTGGTTGGTTGGTTGGTTGGTTGGTTGGTTGGTTGGTTGGTTGGTTGGTTGGTTGGTTGGTTGGTTGGTTGGTTGTTTGTTTGTTTGTTTGTTTGGTTGTTTGGTCTTTATGTTTGTCTGCCTGCCGGCCTGTCTGCCTGCCTGCCTGCCTGCCTGCCTGCCTGCCTGCCTGCCTGCCTGTCTGTCTGCCTGCCTGCCTGTCTGTCTGTCTGTCTGTCCATCTGTTTGTTTGTTTTTGAGGGGGGGTGTCTTAACACCATGGTACATCATTGTAAGTTGTTGTAGGATATGGAATCGGTGTCCTCGTCCACTTGCAAAGCCAACCATGACAAGACATCAATGTAAGTCAGTGGGCTCTGAGTTTGCCTGCCTGCTTAAGGCGGCCAGCCTTTTTCCACCCCACACCCAGCCCACTTCATTAAGTGTATGGCTGTATCAGGGTAAAACGACAGCCCCGGGGTTTTGAAGTACCTGACCTCTTCGGTGAAGTGCGACACCTGACAGGTAGATGGCCCCTTCAGAGATGTGGGAGACAGTGCCCAACCCAACCAGAAATCAGTTCGGTGCAGCGGCCCGAGAAGATATTCACAGCCGAAAGCCAAGCTTTAGATTGTGACTCAGGTGTTGTTTCTTTGTTTTCTTTGTTCTTCTTTCTTTCTGTTTAAACCGTTTCCCGGTTTGAAGGGAATCCCAAAAGGAAAGCCGCAAAGCTTTGGCGTCCCCAATTTTGACGCAGAGGACATCACGGTGCACGAGTGGGCCGGTGACACACCTTTGCCATGTGCAGACCCCACACCCGGCGCCTGGGAAAAAAATATTTGGAGTTTGGGGCAATGTTACTTAGCGAATCCAAGCTGTTCTCTTAGGTGTTTAGTAAAAACAAACAAACATGTTTTAGGGTTAAGTTTAGTGGGAGCTTCCTTGTAACCCATCAAAAGCTAAACCTTGGGGGGATCTGAGGACAGTCCAGTTTACGCGTTTGGACTGCCTTGGCCAGTGCACGGCAAGCTGTTCGTGGTTTTGATGTCTCATATGGGCGCTGGACGGCAAGAAATCCTCAAACTGGGCACTGGTGTGCCTTCGAGGTATCTAGGGCGCCGTTTGGTTTTTAAGCCACAGTTTTTCCATGTGACCCCCTCACCCAAAAAGACCCCATGGGAAAGGGCAGTCAAATTCAAGGGCCATGGCCATTGTTGTTCAAGAGGAAGTTGCGCTGGCGAAACTCCGTGAATCCGTATGCTCCTAGTTCGTGCTTTGAGGGATCCAGGTGGCGAGTAGTGGCGAGCAACAAATATCAATGTAGGAATGAAGGCAGGAGTCTGTGTATGACTTCCACTTGTTTGTTTTTGAGAAACCGAAATCCCCAGTTTTACCGGTTTTGCTTCCAACCTCGGAATATGCGCGTGATGGGGTCACCAAACTTTTTAAGGCTCTGTCTTTTAAGGTTGGACCCCACCCCCCGAACCGGCTTCGGTTTTCTTGCTGCTTCGTCTTGAATCCCCACCAAAAGAAACATACGCTCACCGGGTGGCTTCATGCTAAAGGAAGCCGGAAGAGCGCTTCCATTTGCTTAAGAACTTTTGTTATTTTCCCTTGTTGGTTTAAAAGAAATTGTTCACTACTGGAGTATTTGTAGTTTTTCTTTTTGAGGTGAGTCTGGAAGGGTGCGTTGGACCTCCGTGGGTGCGGCTTTTTTTCTCTTGGGGGGGGGGGGTCGTCTCTTTGAAGTCAGCTTATCAGCTTCTCAAAAATGGTGCCCTGTTTTCCTAGGCCACACTACGTGTAGAGTAGCCCAGTTTAAGTCCAGGTTTTCCTACTTGCGTCAATTGAACAAACAATCGGATTTGTAAGCCAATTTGACTGCCATCAATCAATTATACTCGGACTTCGAATTGAACTCCAGGTATACTGTGGATGGCCACGGAAACCGATCGCCAAATTTGCCCCAATTTTTGTTATGGTTTTGTGGTGTGTGGCTGGCTTACTTCCACTACTGTGGATGGTTCAGATATCCATTTCGCACCACCCTTCGGAAACCCAACGGTTCCCGATTCGATTCCCCAACATAAGTACCCAATAAGCGTGATGGCTTCAACCACGGCTTCCTTGCGTGGTGCGATTCATCGCAACCATCCACAGCATCTCACTCTCTGAGTCCACAGGACCCCCTCACGCTGAAATCCACCGGTTGCATCCCGCGCCGGCCCGCGCCAGGCACCTGGCTGGTCTTCCCCCGCAAGGACGCCTCCGATGCGGAGGAGGTGGACTGGGGCTCGGTGAAGGGCCTGGTGCTGGTGGACAGCCGCTGGAAGCACGCCAAGGCGCAGCCAACTTCTCTCCCCAGCTTCGACCCGTCCTTTTTTTTCTTGGCTGCTATCGGGCAACGGATCTTTAGACTTTGGCTTTTTTGGTTGAAATCAAGGGGCTTTCCACCAAACCCCAAAAAAGTTTAACTTTTTGCAGGGGGGTTAACAGCAACCAAGTTTTTGACTCACTCCCTGAGGCGTTTTTTTTGGACAATAGTCGCTTTTTGATTGGGTTTGGGCCAGTTTGTTTTATTGCATACAAACAGTTTAGACTGGTTTGGCCCATCTACTCAGACAGTGCACAAAAAGGAGGCACCTCCCATTCAAAATCAATGAGCGGTCTATTAGTCTGCGGTCAACATGTTCTGGCAAAGAACTAGAAACCGCGAATCGATCAGTAGAACCCCTAGCCTTGTTTATGGGAGGGCCCATCACTTTAGAGGTGCACCCTACCACCTAATAAACCCTGGAATGATGAACCCTCCTGTAAATACCAACCAACAATGATTTCAACCATGGTTTCAAACTGGTGTATGCTTTCGTCCACAGTAGGATGGGTTGATTAATCTGTGGTGAACATCAGTGCGATCCAACTCCCCCGCTCAACCTCCCATTGCCTCAGCCGAAAGCGGATGGCCAGGTTGCTCCTTGGTCCACTTTTAGTGGCCCCACAACTGAGCTTGACCACCCTCCCCATTCAAGTGTGGCATTGCCGCGGCCTTGGGCTTTTTTTAAAGGGAACAGTGGCACATAGATGGGACCTCATAGTCTTGTTCGCCACAGAGGCTTCGAATTGTGCGACTCAGGGGTAATTGTAAAGCCACCTTTCTAACCTATGCGAGCGGTCAGCTGCCCGGTGAGAACATTTGGAGTGTCCTCCCTCAGGGCTCCTTAAAAAGATTCCTTTTGCCCATTTGAAACATGGCTTTTTCAACACCAAAATGAAAGGAAACCACCATTTACAAGGCAATGTTCAGGTGTATAATGTACTGTTCCTTGTTGGTTGTGGGCAAATGCGCCTCAGGCGATGGCGGATCACCCTGTGTTGGCGCAGCTGCCCGCGATGAAGCTGGGTGGAGGCTCTAGCTGCTTCTGGCGCAACCTGGTTGCCAAGCTAGTGACGTTGACCTCGAATCTAAGCGGACCCGTCCAGTTTTAATAGCAGGGTGGGAAAGTGGGCCCCTTCCACAAACAGTCTGCGCAGTCTGAACCCATATCAAAAATATCCCGGGGTCTATTCATTTGCAGTTCCCAGCAAGTGGTGAGTGAACCTCCCGGATGCACGAAATCCTGCACCAGCTGGCGGATATTTTTTCACAGTATTGCAGAGCGCATCCATCTCAACTGGTGCAGGAAGTTGTCCACCCATAGTAGGATATAACCCCCTTGTAAACAGGTATGTTATCATCCAGGCTACTAGTCACCTAACTTCGCCGAACACCCAAGTTGGCGTCCTACGGGGATCTCTTTTGAACTGTTCGGCAGTACGTCTCCAGGGTGACAAGATAGATCAACTCTTAGAATGCTCGCTAGATACCTCTAAGTAAGGACTAGACTCACATATTCTGGTTGGGGATCGTTGGGGCAAACATTCAAAAAGGTGAAATGACTAGGTTTCTTTTCAGGTCAGTTTGGTTCACATAGATGGCAAGGGTTTCATATTTTAGCCATCTATTTTCCGAAGGGGTTGAGGGAATTTCCTTTGGTCCCATTTTCTGGGCAAGACCCAGCAGTGTTTGGAAGGGGGCCCCAGCCCCTTCCAGAACTGGGGCCGATCGGAATCCAGAAGGAGCGGTTCAGGAGCTACCGATCGGAGTTCTGGTCGCACATGGTCGCAAATCCCCACCCGTTTTTATGATATCCACCATTTCACGTCCCCAATTGAAGCTCATAGCCAAACTGAACGTCCCGGGTTCCTGGACTTCAACGTTTTTCCGGGCTCGAGCAAATTTTAGCGGCGAGGCCAAACAAAAAGTTTGGATCCTTCTTTCATCCCATCAGTTTGCTTGGAAGTGAAAAAGGAAAAACCGATGCGGGTGAGTGGGAAGCAGACGCGCAGGGGGGTGGTCGCCTCGTCGGTGTCGAACCGCCGGCTCGCTGAAGCAGCGCGGAGTTCGGAGCCATGGGAAGGAAGAATTGCCACGGGTTTCGAGGTGAATGGCCACGGAGGGATGTCTGCAATGGCTTCCCTTCCTACCTCTTGAAAACACAAAACTTGTCTTCACTTTTTGGGGGGTATCATGGGCTATAATTATGTCTGTAAAAGATGAGAACTTCCCCAGGGCGCAGGGAGTTTTAAGGGGTAAGTCTTATCTCCAATTGGCTGACAGGAGTTGGTGTTTTATTTTCCCCTCTTGGTTTTAGAGGGCCTCGATTTCACTACCGGGTTGCTTTGCTTTTTCCAGGGCATCAGCCAATGGAAGTTATGGCCAATCAGTGTATGGTGTGTGTTTTTGAGGGTGCCCTTTTTTGGGTTTGAGTAAAGGGGCAGCAAGCGAAAGCCATCTTGAAGGGTCCCAATATAGTGCAAGAGAACCCATACTGTGGATGGACAAATCCATTTCGCACCACTTTGAAACCATGGTTGAAACCATTGTCTGTTGGCATTTGCAGGTGAATCATCATTCCAGGGTTTCTTAGGTGATGCGAAATGGATTTCGCAACCGTACCCGATTGCCATCCAACTGGGTTTGACCTGTTGTTCTTTTTCGCCCCTTTGAAACGGTCCGCTTTACTCCAAGGCCAAAAGGTTTACCTCGACCTTTTGACGTTTTCGTCTTCCCCTTTTCGGTCCGTTTTGAGTCATGGCCATGTCATGGCCCCATTTATTTCATTTACTTATTCCAGGTCCCTAAGAGGCTTCCTTGAGACCCCGCAAGCCCAAGTTTCTCCAGGCACTGCCACGGAGAAGTTGGCCATCCCGGGCCTTCTGTCCACGGCGGAGTGTGTGCACCAGCTGCTGCTGCTGCGCGCCGCGCGCCTGAGCCTGCCCAACGCGGGGCGTTTGGACGCGCCACGGCTTGGATTCTTTTTAGGGGGGGGGGGGTTGAAGTTCTTTGGCGCATTTTGCCAAGGGATGTTGGGACTTTCACTTTTTGCCAACTAATGGGTTTTCCCAATTAAACCGCTAAAAGTTGAAAACTTTTTCGCAGGGGAGCAGAAAGCAAACGAGAGTTAGTGGTGTCCTTTTTGGTGTTTTTTGTTAAATCGATGGCGATTCCTGAGTGGCCTGGTTGGTTTAGCATCTATACCGGGGCCATCTATTCTTATGGAAGTCCATCATGTTCAGTCGCAGTGGTCTTTGGATTGCCGGAAAGCTCAGTCCAAGTTGGGGATTTTCTACTTACGACCCACTTACTTCATCGGAGCCCGGGCAAGGGGAGCCATCGGAATAGTGGTGACAGAACAGGGCTCCTTAAAAGATACATTTTGCCAATTTGAAACATGGCTTTTTCAACACCAAGGGAAACCACCATTTACAAGGCAATGTTCGGGTGTATAACGTAAGGATCCCTGCAGAAGGAACACCAGGGCAAACAAGCACAAGGACAAGGAGAACAGGGGTACGCACAGGCACATACGTGCGCCCAACATAGGGTACATTAAGGTACATTTGCCCTTTCAAGTTCGTCGCCAAATTTGATTGACCTCAATAATCTGCGCAAGAGGACCTTTGGCGGACATAGCGCGAACATGCGCGAATACAAAGGCTTGCTGGCAAAGAACGTGGACACAACAATTTTATTTTGATTCAGAGAATGACGGGAGCCATAGAAGTTATAACTGCGGATGGACGAAATCCATTTCGCAGCACTTTTGAAACCATGGTTGAAACCATGGTTCGTTGCAGGGGACTCACCGACTCACATCATTCTAGAGCTTCTGAAGGGTGCGAAATGGAGTTCGCCTCCGAAGCGCAGAGCTTGGCCCAAGAATGGCGCGGGGAGGTTAATTACCACCTCAAATCTCAGCTCACTCGCCCATGGTTTCAAAGCCACCTCAAATCTCCGCTGCTCATTCGCCCAGGGCCGGATGGGAAAGGGGGGCCCCCCAAAGGCCAAACGCCAAATCTGAGGACCTCTTGTACTTCTTTGCCCTGCGCCTGCGCTTGGTGCTTGAGGCCGCTAGTCTTTGATGGCTGGAAGCCTCCGTGGCTCCGAGGATGAAGCACCTACTCCAAATACACGCGTTTTTTTTTATTCCGGGTATCACGTCGACCAGGTACTACTTGTAAAAGAAGGGAGGAGGTATTTCCCGGGGAAAACTAGGCTTCCCAAAAAATACTCTGAAACAAGGGGGTATTTGGAGTAAGGGGTAAGGCTCCTACCACCCAAACACATCGATTCAAGTTTTTGGTCCCTCTGGAGTCTGCTGGGGGCGTCCTCTGTTTTAGGTGGAACCCCCAAATTGGCTTCGGTTGTCCTTTGGTTGTTCTTTAAAAACTCTTTGGAGTATTGGTAAACCACCTTGAGCTATGGATTTTCTCCAGGCCTGTTTCCCTCAGAGGCGACTTGCATGGAACAAGTTTGCCCCACCTAGGCCCTGAATTGAAAGAGTACCCTCACCAAGACACGCCCACGAGTGACATGAGGGCGGGCAGAACCTGCAGGTAGCCAGGGTTACGCAGGCTGCCTTGCTGGACACATGTTTCTCACGCCTTTTGCCCGTGTGCCAAACTGGGCCCAAATGGGTGCCGTGTCCCTTCTCACGCAAGCCCAACAACTCACCCCCTGAGTTCTCTGACTTTTGGGGAAGACCATTTTGGTGCACCTTTACGCAGTCGGAAGTGAGAAAAGTGTAAAGCTCTCTATGTCCAAGGTTGAGAAGGGATAGTCCCAACCAGAAACGGCTGCCTTCGCCGCCGTTTTGCTTCTTTGTATGGTTCGTAGTTAGGCCATGTTAATTGCGAGGTTTGTATTATGACTGGGATGGTTTCCAGGTACGGGCCAAAGGTTGAACCACCAGGGGACCGCACGTTTTAGTCCTTGGTTCTACTTACCTGTGCGAAATTTAAACCAACAGCATGCGGTGCTCTTTTTAGTCCCGTGGAACCCTCGCGGAACCCTGGTGGAACATTCGTGGAACCTTGCCTGAGGGCTGCCCCGGACCACCCCGGAGCCTATCTGGGCTGAGACCCCAAAGCTTTCAGCTATTGGGGAAAATATCCATAAAACGTATATAACAACACTAATGCAAGATTAATTTTCCATTCGAGGTGATCAGACAGGAAATGCATGATGGAAGCCATTCTTATTTGTGACGCGCGGGATTTGAGGAGTACGGCAGCGATGTTGCGCGCTGCTGCCCCTGGTGCACGGAGACCTCGCGCCGCGCCGCCGTGCACCGAGGCAACGACCGGCAAAAGGCGAAGAGCCAAGCGCCGGAAGCGAGCGGAAGCGAAAAAGACATCGCGCGAATGCGTGCGTGGCCCGGCCCTCTAGGATGAAAGGGGCTGGCCGAATGTTGAGCCCGGATTAATACAAGGCCCTGTTGTTTTTGTTCTATGGGGGTTGTTCCTCTCCAAGAGTGATAACTTTTCAGTGAAACCAGGAGCTCTTCAACCGCCTGCTTGGGAAGTTGTCACAGTAGAGCATTGGCGGCATTCATCATTCTGTGTACCCTATTCGATGGAAGCAAGCCACCCAGGTTGCCAAGAGGAAGACCGAGCTTCTTGTGGGAGCTTTCGTGAATCCGGGGGGCTGCTGGCCAAGGGAAGAACATTGGGGACTCAACCGGATTTCCAGGAGGGGGTGGGAAGCCTTCAGAGTGAGTGGGCCAGAACGTCTACGCCAAGCTTGCGCGGTTGCAAGATTGTCCGCAGCTCGGGGGGTTGGGTCGTTTGCTCCTGACTTGCAGCCACTCAGCGATTTCTGATGCTCCCTTTGGTTTTCGATGGCTTTCTTTGTCTCGCAAGCCGACGCACCAAGCCCACAGAACCTCCACAATGTCAAGCCCTACTAGCCCTATGGTTTCTTCCAACGAACCTTCTTGAGAAAACTCCAGGGCTTGTCAATCAATGGCTTGCATTGCCCCAGAATGTGCGCAGTAAATTCACTAAGACCACGTGGATCTGCAGCAAGGAGATGGACAGAGGTTCCGCTTACTCTACAGAAAGGTACCGAGGTGGATCAGGTGCATAGTCAGCAAATCCCTTGTGGGGCCTCTTGTTTTCGGGGCCTTCCAAAGAGCTGGAAGAAGCAGGAAGCATCAGGAAACAGCAGCAAAGAAACATGAAACAGCAGGAAACAAAGCAGCCCTTGAACGTAGAGCTCGCGCTTGCAAGGGTAAGCTCCGCGAGCACACATTTTTATTGTACACGCTTCGTGCTGCCCGCCTCGGCCAGCATCAGCCAGTTTCGGCTTGCTGTGAAGGAATGGCATTTCGTTGTGGGCGCTCACTTCAAGGACGCTTGCAGGCGCTGTCGGCTCCCTTTGTGCCTCTCTTGGTGGGCTGTCTTGGTGGACGCTTGTGGGCGGAAGTCTTGCGGGCGATGTTCATGAGCGCTTGCGGACGCTTTGTGGGCGCTCCTTCGTGGGGCTTGTGGGCGCATGTGGGCCACAAGGACGGAAGTCTTGCAAGCGTGCGTGATGAGTGCTTGCGGGCGCTTGTGGGCAGCACTGTTGCCTCTGTGGGCGTTCCTCTTGGCGGGTGCTTCTAGGCGCATGTGGGGGCTCTTCTTGGGCGCTTTTGGGTGTGCGGCGCATATGGGCGCTCGCCCACTGCCGCCCACAAGCGCCCGCAAGCACTCATGAAGAACGCCCGCAACCACCCACAAGCACCCACCAAGAGCGCCCACAAGTGCCCGCAAGCAATTATGAAGGGAGCGCCTGCAACAGTGCCGCCCACCCCCCCCCCTCACACCCCACAAGCACCCAATGAAACCCCGCCCACATGCGCCCACAAGCGCACCCAGCAGAGAGCTAGGGTTGCGCTGTTGCGGGCGCCCTCAGCGGTCCATATGGGCGCTTACATTACTGGGGTTCAAGCCTTCTTTTCATGGGGGTTGAACATGTTTACCTGACTCTGAGTGGACTGGCCAAAAACTGCAACCAAAGTTGTCGTTTACAACTAACATGATCTTCCCAAAAATAACTAAAGTCCAGGACCAGGGAGTGAGAATCCAAAGGGAAGGGTTCAAGTTGCCGCCTGTTAATGTTTACAAGGGCGGCATTCAACGACACCTTCTGGAAGCATTTCTGGCCCAACAGCTGAGAAAGGTTGCCCAACCCCATAGCCTTTGGCCGCAAGGTTGTTTTATTTTTGGACTAGCTGCGCCGCGCATATCTAACCGTCAACCTATTCGGCTCGTCTTGTTGAGGGCCCGCAAGGAGATTCTCCTTTTGCTTTCCCTGTCCCTGTCTGTCAAATTCGGTCAGGTCTTGTGTCATTTGCCCAGAACCCAAGCTTCTTGGTGCCACTCGCCTGCCCAAACGCATAACAGCCTTGCCTTTTCATCGCCCAATAAGACGCCCAAGCGCCCACAACGCTGCCCACAAGCCCAGCCACAGACCGGCGCCCACATGCTCACAAGCCCCCAAAACTGCCCACAAGCACAAGGAAGGGCGCCCGCAACGGCGCTCCCGGAAGACGCCCAAGGAAGAACAGCCGCGTCAAAACCACGACGCCCAGAAAGATGCGCCCACAAGCCCAAGAACAACGCCCGCAACGCCCAGCAAGAACGCCACTCACATGTGAGTATCTGGGAAGCTCAGTAGTTTTAGACCCTTTGACCGGTTGATGGACAAAGGCGAAGTCTCACGTGTTGGGGTTGGACCATTTTAGTGGTTGTGGCTTTGGACATTTTGCTGAGCTTGTGTGGGCGTTGTTGTGGGCGTTCTTCCTTGCGCGGGCGTGGGTGGCGTTGTGGGCGTCGGTGGCATTGTGGGCGCTCTGTTTTGGGCCTGGGGGCGCTTTTGGGCGGTGTAGTGCGCTCTCTCTCTCTCTCTCTCTCTCTCTCTCTCTCTCTCTCTCTCTCTCTCTCTCCTCTCTCTGTCTGGAGTTTGTGGTTGCTAGCGACTCCGGAGGCTTGTTTGTGGATGACCTCTAGCTACTTTTGTGAGTACCCAGGCGCACGTAAAACTTCAGCGCCTTGTGTGTCCGTGCGCGCACACGCTGCGTACGTGAATCAGTGTGCAAGAAACAGCTGGCGGCGGGAAGGGAGAGAGGGAGGGAGGGCGGAGAGGGAGGAAGGGAGGGAGGAAGGGAGGAAGGGAGGGAGGGAGGGAGGGAGGGAGGGAGGGGGGAGGGAGGGAGGGGAGGGGAGGGGAGGGAGGGAGGGAGGGAGGGAGGGAGGGAGGCAGAGTGTTTGTGAGTGTTTATGAGTGTTTGTGAGTGATTGTGAGTGTTTGTGAGTGATTGTGAGTGTTTGTGTGAGTGTTTGTGAGTGTTTGTGAGTGTTTGTGAGTGATTGTGAGTGTTTGTGAGCGTTTGTGAGTGTTTGTGAGTGCTTGTGAGTGTGTGTGTGTGTATGTGTGTGCGTGTCTGTGAGTGTTTGTGAGTGTTTGTGAGTGTTTGTGTGCTTCTGAGTGCTTGTGGTTGTGCGCACTTTTGCTCTTGCTGGGATTGTGGGCGCTTTTGTTGGGCTTGTGGTTCTTGTGGCTGTGGCTTGGGCTTGTGGGCGCTTGTGGGCGCCCTTGCTGGGCTTCTAAGTGCTTCTGCTGGGCTGTGGGCGCTTTTGCTGGGCTCAGCACTTGTGGGTGGGCGCTTTTGCTGGCCTGCTCTTGCTGGGCTTGTGGGCGCTTTTGCTGGGATTGTGGGGCTGGGCGCTTTTGCTGGGCTTGTGGGTTTGTGGCGCCCACGTGCGCCCACATGCGCCCACATGCACTCGCGTCAGCCTGTTTTTTCCTCGTTTTTTTTGCTGTCGGGCCGTTTTTCGACACACAAGTGCCCAAGTGCCCACAAGCGCCCACACACAAGGCTATGCACTGTTGTGGGCTCCGACACAAGCCCAGCAAAAGCGCCCACAAGCCAAAAAGAGCGCCCAAACCCCAGAAGCGCCCGCAAGCCCACGCCCAAGCGCCTACAAAAGCCCAAGCGCCCACAAAATCCCAAGCGCCCACAAGCGCCCAAGTCTTACAAGCCCGGTAAAAGCGCCCACAAGCCCAGCAAAAACGAAAAGCGCTTTTGCTGAGCCTGTAAGGGCCTCTTGTTGGGCTTGTGGGCTCTCTTGGGCTTGCGGGCGCTTTTGCTGGGCTTGTGGGCGCTTGCGCTCTTGCTGGTGGGCGGTTTTGCTGGGATTGTGGGCGTGAGAGGGCAGTTGTGGGTGGGCGCTCTTTCTGGGCTTGTGGGCGCTTGTGTGGCTTGTGGGCGCTTTTGCCGGCGCCCGCATGCGCGCCCACATGCGCCCACATGCGCCCACACGCGCCCACATGCACTCGCGTCAGCCCGTTTTGTCCCGCTCGTTCCCGTTTTTTCCCGCTCGTTCCCGTTTTTCCCCGTTTTTTCCCGCTCGATCCCGTTTTTTCCCGTTTTTTCCCGCTCGATCCCGTTTTTCCTTCTTTTCCCACAATCACCCAGAAGTGCCCACAAGCGCCCACATGTTTCATCCCTTTCGCTTTTGCTGCACTTGCGCTTGTGGGCTTTTGCTGGGCTTGTGGGCGCTTTTGCTGGGCTTAGGCTTGTGGGCGTTGGCGCGTGCTCGGGCGCTTTTGCGTGGGTGGGCTGGGCTTGTGGACGGCTGGGCTTGGCGATCTTGTGGGCTTGTGGGCGCTTTTCCTGGCTTGCGGGTGCTTGTGGGCGCTTTTGCCGGGCTTGTGCTGGGCGCTTGTGGGCGCTTGCGATTTTGTGGGCGCTTGGGCTTTTGCTGGGCTTGTGGGCGCTTGTAAGCGCTTTTGCTATGTGGGCTTTTGCTGTGCCTGTAGGGGCTTGCTGGGCTTGCGCGCGCTTTTGCTGGGCTTGTAGGCGCTTTTGGCGAAGCGCTTCTGCTTACGGGCGCTTGTGGGCGCTCTTGTTGGGCTTGTGGGCCTTTGCTGGGCTTGTAGGCGCCTGTGGGCTTTTTGGGCGGGCTTTCTGGTAGGCGGTTTTGCTGGGATTGTGGGCGTGTGTGGGCGGTTGTGGGTGGGCGCTATTGCTGGGCTTGCTGGGCTTGTGGGCACTTGTTGGCGCTGTTGCTTGGGCTTGTGGGCGCTTGTGGGCGCCTTGCTGGGCTTCCAAATGCTTTTTGCTGGGCTTGTGGCTCAGCACTTGTGGGTGGGCGCTTTTGCTGGGCTGCTCTTGCTGGGCTTTGCGGGCGCTGTTGCTGGGATTCTGGCTGGGCTTGGCGCTCTTCTAGGTTTGTGGGTTTCTTGGGCTTGTGGGTTCTTGTGGGCGCTTTTGCTTGTGGGTTTGTGGCGCCCACATGCGCCGACATGCGCCCACATGCACTTGCGTTCTGCCGCTCGTTTTTTCCCGTTGTTCCCGCTTCTCGGGTTGCAACCCACCATCACCCAGAAGTGTATCCCTTTAAGATGCACACAAGCCCAAAGGCTGCAACGTTGCTGCGAGCAGGCGGGCGCCTGCAGGTGGCAGCCTTGCTGCACTTTTGTGAGGATTCTGGTTGGGCTTTGCTGGGCTTGTGGGCGCTTTTGCTGGGCTTACGGGCGCTTGGGCTT